TGAGCCGGCCTCTTGGCTCAACCATTTTGGCTTCAGCAGCGACTCCTCCAGACCTGATCCGTGACAGCGACCATGGTGCTGTAGCAGCAGGATTTTAAGACCCGGTACCAGCAGTCCCATGACAGTGTGACCAGCAGTCTCAACGGTTAAAGTATCACAGCAATATGGATATCATCGCAGCAACGCATCATGTTTTGAAGTTGCTGCAATGGTATTGTTATGTATTGTTTAGACGTTTAGCAGTGTTAAACACTACCAACCAAAGTCAGCGGTTTCTCTACTGTCATTGCCAAGCTCATGACTGAGAAATTCTGGCACACTCAAAGCGTTCACGCCGGACACGTCGAGACCACACGGGCGCTCGACCACTCTTGTCCTCCTGCGATCTACCATCCCTATCCGACATATCGTGCAGCGCGTTTTACCAATCTGTTTCGAGCCATTCGAGCCATTCGAGCCATTCGAGCCATTCGAGCCATTCGAGCCATGCAACATGAATCAACAGCTGTCCTTTCGAGCTCAGGACTTTCCATCAAGGCAAATCGGATCTCGATGGCCTCACCCCGACCGCGACCGGATCTGGAGGGTCCCTTTTTCTCCACATGTCATGGTCAGAGTCATCCACGACTGGGGGTACCGTGACTTAGGAAACCCCTAAATGGAGAGGATATGGATGGGATGATGGGATGATGGGATGATGGGATGATGGGATGATGGGATGATGGGATGATGGGATGATGGGATGATGGGATATGAATGGATATGGGGACACTACGTGAACAACCAAGCTCATTTCTTTTCACGAAGTGTAGAGAGAAATCTTCCCTATTCCCTAGGTATGCACGTCCTTAAGTGGCGGCAGGATCTAGGCATGCAACATTTTGGAACCAAGAATTCTTCGCAGCTGTATTCATGTGTATAGATATTTCTTGCTATGAAACATACTGAGACATGTGGAGTTCATTGCCAGATTTGCGTATACTCAAAGGATCTCAAAGGTATCTCGAAGGTTAACCTTACTTTGGAATCCTTTTCCGGCTGGAGTGCTGACACTCCCTCGCACCTCCGGTACTATTCGCAGCTCTCGACCATTCAACTTACCTCACAAAGATCTGAGCAGTAAAGGAGAGGTGCTTTGGGCATGTGCGGCCTCTGCAAGTGTGGTCGAGGTGTCCAACGAAACACTGAAGCGATCTGTAACACTCAATAACATTCAATAATTGGATTCAACTGGTACTTGTCTAATCTCAGTAATCTCTTCCCATGTAAGTTGTGTAAATGCCTGGCATATTATTTTTGATTTGTAGTTTGTAGATATTAATAGTACAACAATCCATACATTTCAAACTTCAGGTTTCAGGTGAGCGTTGCTCTTTCAGTCCTCTATCCAGCCTGCACAATTCTTCCACAGCAAAGCCAAGTCCTGACTTAAAGCGGTCCGACAGGAAATGACAGCCTGTCATGACTATGAATTTCCTTGGAGCCTCCTGGTAGTCTCACCATAAATCATCATAAATCCGGATATTAACCATTTACTAAACTACATCAGCAGCTTCGACACAATAGCAGGTTAACTAGTTAGGCATCTTATGGCCCAAATTTCCAAGTTCCACCCCCAACCAAAATGGAGAAATGTTGTGGGTTTGGAGAGGTATTATCCAAACAAAATTAGGGATCTCAGCCGCTCCAAGACCGACCCTGCACTGATTCCGTCTCCTCAAAAGCCTCCGAACGCAAGCCGCCGGACCCGCCGACGATGTCCTTCACAAGATTCGAGGTGGGGATGGGGATCGCGCAAATATGATTATATTATATATACATATGTTTAAAAATCATATTTTATATATAATAGTAATAATAATTTATAAGAACAGTTTATATATCATATCATATGATATATATATATATATAAATATGTAGTGTATATATATGTAATATATATATATATGTAATATATGTTTTTTTTAATATATATATGTAATATATATATATATATATGTAATATATATAATATGTAATATATATAAATACATACATATATATATAATATGTAATATATATATATATACATATATATACTATATAATATATACGTATATGTAATATAATATATATATATATAATATACATAAGACTCGCAGCTCTGCAGAGTTTCAAACTTTAGCTGCAACCAGGAGCAATTTTGCAGGTTGCCAAACAGGGTTGGTCCGAAAATGGTATACCCCCAATCATGATAGTTATATATAGTTATGGCAATTTAATCATGTTGAATCATTTTCATAGGGAAAATCACTAAAGTCTAAGGTGCCATTCAGGGGTACCCCATATGTCCACAAACCCACAACAACACGTCATTGCCTCACACAACAGGATCGCAGCCGGCAACATTTCGTCTTTTCCAGGACCATCCTGGACTCGATGATGAAAGGCGGATCAAACCACTGAGATCAAACTCGTCACCCGCCTTGACCGGAGGGTATGGAGCAGGTAGTGCAGCCTGCAGCTAGATGGTCAGCAGTCCAGTATCAAGTTGCTGTGGGATTCTACCAAGGGGTCAAATCAGTTATCAAAAATATCTATGTCCACAAACACTCGGAAAAATGTACCAAATCTTCCGTTTCTTCGAAATCTCCAGCAGCCGCCTGGATCACTTGCTCAGGTGATGCCAAAAGCAAGTGAACCTGGCAGGGAAAGGAGAGCTTTAAAAAGCAACATAGAAAAACATTAAAAACCAAGGTTTTTTTTGACTAAACAATGCATTCAAATCAAACCAGAATCCTGATGATTTATATTGATTTATGATGATTTATGACGATGATTTCTCCTTGGGGCGGTGGAGACAGTGCCATGGCAAGATATCAACTGGATTCCTGCTGGATCCAAATTGAAAAAAGACTCGGTGAACATCTTAACCCAACTAGGAACACAGAAGCATGTATTTGAAGGAGTTGACACGAAAGACCATAGCATTCAACTGTGCCCTAAAATCACCAGAATCTGGGTCTGGGAACACCAAAGTGTCCAAATATCAGACGATCCAGCTGCATGATCCCAACCTCCATTGCCAAGTCAGAATGGGCCAGCAAAGATTCCATCACCTGTCGGTGCTCGCCCACAAAAGCTGAGCGGACATGTATGAAAAACCTGTTTCTTGTTTCTACCCTTGTTTAGCCTTGAGTTTTGTGCCTGTCAGACTTTGCACGCAGAGAAAGGCGCGAAAACACTATCGGGTTGGCCAATCAAGTGCAGCCAGACTGCATATCTTCACCAGCTCATGTGAAAGTTCGCCACGTTGACACAACAGCCCAATAAAATAATATTATCATGTTAAATTAGCCTTTTCAAACATCCACCTTTTGGTCAGCAGCGAAACACTCAGTGGATCATTTCGAATCACAATGGATTTAACGCCTCCTTCTCATCGTCAGAACTGACACCTGGCACTGGTGTGACAAAGGACGTGACCGATCATGAAGCACTAACGGCCTGTCAAAAAGAGAATTGCGAATCATCCGAATGTTTCACTTGAATTGTTGAGAATAGTGGGATCTATGAAATATATTGAATTATCTGCCAACATTTGCCAGCGTTCATTCCACGAATGAAAAAGTTGACTTGGGAGATCTTGGGAGTGACGCCTGCTACTGCGCTCTGCACCCGGCGCATCGAGGGTAGAAGCAGCCCCAATGGCAGAGACTGGCATGGCAGGGATCGCAAGGATGAAGAACCATGAAAAATCGATGTTTGAAACCATCTAAAACCACGAAGCAATCATGGTATGTCATGGTAAATTGCATGGTAAATTGCAGTTGAACATGGAGGAAGATGGATGAACATGGGAGGCAGGTTGAGATACTTCAGACATCTTCAGACCCTGTGGTTTCGATAAGATCAAAGGTTTCTGGAGGATTTGCTGGTCATCCGCCTGGTTTAGCTGAGAACACACCGGTCATCCGTGGTAGCCATACTCGACCATCTAGGTTGGTGCAAAAGTGGAGTACCCCTAAATCCTCCAAAAATCCTCCAAAAATCCTCCAAAAATCCTCCAAACATCCTCCAAAAATCCTCCAAAAATCCTCCAAAAATCCTCCAAAAACATATAAACCTATCCTGTCCATCATTTTCCTCAGCAACTTGCCATTTTGATCCATTTCGCTGTACTGACGAAGATCCCTGCCTCAGAGATATGAAGCAGTTGGACGGCCATGCCATCAGGCAAACCTCAGCGAAGAACCATTGCCGGGGACAAATAATCTCTGAACCATTGCGAATCGTTGCGAATATGCCTCGAAATTTATGGGACAAATTCATGAAACATGGAAAATCCTCTGGGAAAAAACATGGCAGTGGGAATAATTTCCCATCTTTTTTCACATTGCCCCTGCCAAGTTCTATAACTTTGTGGGAGCGCCACTGTCGCAACTGTCCAGGGAACTGCCCATGGCACGCTGCAAAGCTGTGTCAACCACCTGGAAGCAGCACATCGAATAAATCAGTGCATCTCCTACCCTGGCTTTATGGTATCTTATCGCCAGTTTCTATAACTTTATTATCAGGTTACATACATCATCTTATATCATTTTAAATTATTTTATATCATGTTATATTTTGCTATATTACATTATGTTATACTATTTTATGGAATCATCATAAGTACAATTGGGATTTTGCTTGGGTGTCCTGTGCCATATTTGTGATGGGATTCAATGCCATGGCATTGAGCTGATGAAACCAATCATCTCTGAGCATTTCAATCAATTGTGGTTTGCTGTGGAGGACTACAAATCATGCAACATCAAAACAACAACTTACTGGTGCTTAGTAGGGAATGGATGGGAATGGGGGAATGGGATGATTATTACTATAGTGATTATGGATCATTCCCTCATTCCCTACTAAGCACCAGTAAGACAATTTCAGGAATTCTTCGCGTAATTCAGAAAAGAGATACTTGACAGGGAAAACAATTATTGGAGTTCGGCAAAATCAACGGCGAGACAGGACGGAAGCGAGCATACAACATCAGAGCGGATTTGGGACCAAAGCATCATTCAGACAGTACATACTATACAATGCATCGATGACGCGCTCATTCCATTGAACCATTGGTTCATAGGTCAAAGAGCTCTTGTTTCTGAGCTGGATGTTCATCGCCCCATCAGCCAATCTGAATACATTCAAAAAAATCACCAACATCAAATAAAGTTGAATAAAGCCATTTTTGGGATGATTCCTCCAATCCAATTCCCACCATTGCAGCGACATTGCGACCATCCTTACGGGATTCCACCTGCCAATGGTTGCTGTCATTCAAACGGAGAAGCTCCTCCTCCTCGAGCCTCAGACGGGTGCGAAAGGCCATTGCCATGAATTCCTGTCCAATCAACCAGATTTATATATGTATATATTATCAGTATCAATATATATATATGGTTGTGAGTCAAAATTGTGTGTGGAACGTTCTGCGGTGTTCCGGACGTGTGGAACAAAGGAGCTTCGTAACTGGTCTTGTTCCAGACCTTCCTAGTGTGATGAAATATAGGCTATGCACATATACTATTTTAAAAATCTATAAATATATATCTCAAAGATATACATGTTTAAGCTATTCACGCTAGCTGCAGCTCTTTTTCACTTCTCATCTGCACGACATCCTTGTACACCTGTTCAACGCAGGTTTGACTTGGATGGCTAGTGCTTGTGAAGTAGCTAAGACACAACCGGTAGCCAGTGCCACACACTGGCTACCATGTGAAGCTGTCCACTCAGCTTCAGTCCTGTCACGCGACTCTAGGCTCCCATAACCCGTGTTCAAGATAGGTATGGAACAGAGGTATGGAACGGATCCTTCCAGCAGGGTGTGGTCCCGGACCTTGTTCCGGACCTTATAATTTGACTTGCGCCCATATGTAGGTAGTATTTAGCTCAAAGGAAGATAGACTACAAATTGACGGTGAATTGATGCTTACAGTAACTTCTGGTAATCAATTCATGTATAGCAACTGACAGGATGCCGCACTGCCGAGGAGCTCCAGCTTCGGCCAGGTCGCGACATCTTCGGAAACCCAACGGTCAGCGCCAATCTGCAGGGGCTGGTGCTGACAAATGATGGGATTGTGAAAATAGTATAAAATAGGTGTGGAATGTTATGGATTAATATGGCTTTAGATATAGTTAGATTAATATGGCTTTAGATGATTTCCAGTAAATTTCATCTGCTTCAGATATCAACTTGCCCAGTCAGGGATTTCTGAGCTGCACAGCAACTTCCAGGTTTCTGATCTATCAAAGGCCTCCTATCATCTTGGTACCTCTCCTGGCCACTGCTGGTCGCCGTTGTAGCTCCCACTTCATCACGGTGGAAGTGGCTGGATCTTTGTACAACGGTGTGTCTCAAAACGGGGTAGTCTCCCTCCAAAGGTCCAATTGAAAATGGGAAGATGATGATTTTCGGTTTGCATTACATCAAATTCATTGAAACTTGGGGTGTACCATGGTTTACGCTGTTTTCAGACACAGCCATATCACCATTCGCGTCACACCAACGCTTTGGTGAGTGACAGCTTCTGGAAGAGGCTGATGTTTTTACAGTCTGACGGCTTCTTGTACGCAGGGTCTTCTACGTCCTGGACGTTTCTCAATTGGAGTATCCAGGAGGTAGAGAAGACTGTCATAGGAGTAGCATATTTTCATTAGGCTTCTAAATAACTTCAAGTTTGACAGCATGCTACCTCTGGGTAAAAAAATGACGTAAAGATGCCCTTGTTGACTTGATGATCCCTTGACAATGGAAGGGGTATGTGGGTGATTATATCTGCCCAAAGGACCTGGATCTTTCCAGTGACTTCCTGTAAATCCCCAGATTTCGCCCATCCTGCACTGTGTAGCTTCCTTCTCGCACGACGCCTGGAGAGGTTCATAGCTGAGAAAATCATCGAACGAAATGGTGGATTTTTCCATTGCCACGTTTGATTGTCAGAGGCTACCCATCTTTCTGGATCAATTTTGCACAAGTCTCCTGGTGTCAGAAACCAACAGCTGGTGTGAGTGGATGCTCGTGTCCCTGATCATGGTACTGGAGAATTGTTCATTGCACATGGTTGTTTCTGAAAATGCGGTATACCACCAATAGTGCCATGTTGCACTGTTGCATTACGGCCACCTGTGCCTTGTGCTACGTACCCCCCACTTCCATTCTGGGATGGATGACCATGCCGGCACAAAAAAGGGTGTGTCGGAACATATTGCACCCCTAAATCCACAGCTTCATCATCATTCTCCCTTTGAAATGCCGATTTTGCGACCCAGCCAACTATCATATCAAGCTAGGAATCCCATTTATCCCATTGTTATTGTTATTTCTCAATTCCTGTTTTCAGACACATCCAAATCCAATATTCATTGATGATCAAATCATAAAATCCTGATTTTTTTCAAGTTAGCTCTCCCATCATATCCTAGCCTATTATCCAAGCTTTTAACACATTTATAATCTAATATAATATATATATACAGTCCTTCCCTGAACTCCATCACTTTGGGGCCTTTCACGCTGTCCACGACCTTCCATGTGGCTGTGCTGTTGCAGAGCTGGGTGGGAAAGGAAGGGAACGCACCCACCCAGCATAGCGTGCATTCGCCCTCCTGGGGTCAGTAGAGGTACATCAGATTTCTGAGATTTCTGGAGGACCATCAGTTGAGTCAGTTGATGGAGGAATTCCTGTCCTGGATTTCTGGATGATCAGTGGATTTCAAAGCGGACATGACGAATTTCTGGCTTACAGCTGAGAGGGGTGAGTGAGTTTGGTACATTACAACCATGGCTCAACGTTGGGATACCAAAGAATGGAATGATTTCTGCTCCTCGAAGCCACAAACGCTGCCCAGCTCGCGCACCAAAACCAAACTACTGAGCCCGTCGAAGCGGACATGCGCGCAGAGCGCATCAAAGACCTGGGAGCTGTGATCAATTTGGGGTAATCAAGGGATTCAACCAACAATGATGGGATAATTCATGGGATTTAACCAACAATGCTGGGATAATAATGGGATTTGATTTAACCAACAATTTGCAGGGATTTCATGATGGTGTTTAAGACAGTCGAATAATGGCATAATTTCATGGGATGAAAAACAAACACGATGGGATAATCACAACATTTAACACACACAATACAGGGACAAAAAATGGATAAACATAGGATAGTATTCGGATTTAAGAATGGAATACATCATGGGATAACACTGGGATCCAATTGATCCAATACACAATGATTAATGGAGGAAGAACGAGATACTGTCCATTTTGGGATTGCATGGTTTATGGCACCCATGGTAATGGCAATATGATGGTTTCTTGGGATAATTGTTGGAAAAGAAGAACTTTCTCAAACAAATAGACTTTGAGCGAATTCAATGGACATCTACAGTAGTTGACAGTTGAATGAAAGCAGATGAAGCAGCGACCAGGATTGGTGAACAGAAAAAACAAAAACCATCCATGTCGACTTTTTGCAAAGAAACTGAGTTTCGTTTGATTCGACCTTCAAGGGTGCCTCAATCTTCCTTGCTGGCCTTCGCCTTAAGATTTGGCTGCACCCCTTGCCAAGTCTGAGTGTGACACCAAGACTGAGTGCAACATGGTGTATTCCTCCTGGTTGCATCCAAACACTGAAACTAAGCTCTACACAACCAAATTTGTGTCTTGAAGGACCAGTCTGAAACATGCAAAAAATGTTGGCCTCTCTGCCATGCATTTCCATGATGAGCCCAGCCCAGCTGACAGGAGCGTATCCTCCTTGCCCATAATCTGACTGTAGGTCAATGGCAGCAGCATCCGATGTGGCAGATTCCACAGCCAAAAGTAGGCCATCAACGAATGGAAGCCAAGCCTTGGTCGCATCCAAGTCACCATGGGGTCATCAAACCCATCAATTCATTGGATGAGCTCACATGCAACCTATCCCACCAAACGAATCTTAGTTGGATGAGTTGGGCATGGTCCAAAGGAACCAGTTAGAATCAGTTAAAATCTATGTCGTTTTGAATCTTAGGATTGAACCATCCATTGTTGGGCCAAGAATTCAAAGCCACATCCTCTGTTGCTTGAGGACAGTGATACATGTTGGGGTTAAAAGATTCAACTACGGCTCAGAAGGACAATACCTCAAGGAAACTAATATAGGTATTGAAAATGGTGATTTATGGTGGATTTACCTATTCAAGATGGGGATGTTCAAAAGCTATGTTAGTTTCCCAGAGGGTAAACATGGGGCCCACAAACTTTTATCAACTGCCGTGATTGACATTGAACCACTGGCGTTGTCTGAACATAGGCCACCGTACCCCCGAAATTTGATGAATGTTTCCGCGTTTTTGTGTCCGCATTACATTCACATTATCGTTGGTTTCTACCAGTGCCACCCCTAAACTTGCAGTTACATCTGAGTGTGATTTGGCCTTCTGATTCTGGGGTTGCCTGTCTGACAGGTAATGGAAGATGAGGGAATAATTACCCAAAAGGATTCAAATTTTGTTGGTTGTATGATGTTGTATGATTACCTGATTCTATCCCCATTATGGTTGGTTCTGTACCAGTGCAGTTTTAATGTCTTCAATGGGGATATGTTTTTTTTCCTCTAGCGCCAATGAAGGTGCGCGGCTTAACCAAAAGATTAAAAACAAATTTGGAACACGGGAGGGTGTCAATTTTCTTAGTGTTTACTCGGTAAGCCCGGAGGCTGTTGGCCGATGGCCAGGTGGATATAAGGCGACCGTATGAAAAAGTTATATCAAAAAGGTCCGCACCGAAGGGCGGCAACATCCACCAATTGCAAAACATCTTGGTGTGTAGGAGAAGGTGGGGCCACCCTTCCCAAGGCGTGATAGGCATCTTTAATGGTCTCTTGAAGCCAATCTAATTTTGGCCTACCTCTTCTTTTGAATGGGATATTTCTTGGTGCGAAACTGTTATATCAGAAGAGCACTTGCCGAAGTGGGTCTTTGTGGTTTGCACGAAGAATATGTCCAAATAATTTGAACTTCTGGTTTTTCCACACCCGAGAAAAATTTGTCGCATCAACACCATATTGTTCACTTGTTCTCGGACTACTTGATTAGTTTGCGTTCGGTCAATGAAAGTAGGTGGAATATTCAAAATTCTGCGATGTGACTTCATCTGAAAGGCATCTAATTTGTTCATTTCTGCGTGGGTTAGCTGTAAGTTTTCTAAACCGTACATGAGTTTGGATCTGACAATTGCGTTAAATACTCTGAGTTTCCAGTGTGCGCTAGTGTTTGCCTTGTCCCAAAACAGTTTGAGCTGGCAACATGTCTTAACTGCTAAGGCCAAGCGGTTCTGAAGTTCCACTGAGTTATCAGCAGCGTCATTCAACACTGTGCCTAGATATATAGCCTGGCGTTTTCTTGGGACCAATGAGCCATCTGAAAACTTGATAGTGGAAGTCTGTTGGTTAGTAGTCAAGTTAATAAATTTCTGGTAGTTGAGGTTCATGTTACAATAAGAGGACTCAACTTCAATTTCATGTAGGAGTTTGTTTGTTGAAGCAGTGTGATCTCCAAAAATCAAGGTATCGTCAGCGTAAAGAATTTCAGAGAAATAAATACCAGGTAACGGTTCAAGCTGCTTTGGGGTATGAAGCCGGTTTTTTATGTCCGAGAATGCAACGGACATGACTAATATAAATAAATATGGGCTGAGTGGGCATCCTTGACGAATACCTGCTTCCTGCCGTAAAAAGGCTGAAGAACCCTCTTCGCATTTTACTTGAAACTTGGGATGTGTATAAATGTCCTTAATAAGTTGAAGGAGGCGTGGTGGTACTTCTAACCTCTGCAGGCTTTCCATAAGACGGTCATGGTCAAGTCGATCAAACGCCTTCTCCCAGTCTAGCATAACTACACTGATGTTCCTACCTGTGACCTCTGCAATACTTTGGAGTCGGCGGGCAAGGGAGATGGCGTGGCTAGTGGATTTGCCGCTATGGAAACCATCGTCGAGTCCTTGTGTCAAACGATTTTTAATCATAGCTGCCAGTAATTTGTAGAATGTCTGCATAATGATATTGGACGATAATTTTCCGATTTCGTGGAGTCTCCCTTTTTGAAAATAGAGACAACTGAGGCTTCATGTAAGGAATCTTCTAATTTTCCTGATTGTAGTATGTCATTGTAAAATTGTAAAAGAGCTTTTCGATTTTCCTCATCAAGATATTTTACTAGTTCCGCTCTCAAATTGTGTGTGCCGGGCGCTTTATTGTTTGGTTGCTTTCGTATCACGGCGTCTAGTTCATCTAAGGTGAACTGGGAATCATTGATGGGAAATCGTCCGTTAGTCAGATTAGAGGGATTGATTTTAGGAGGTGGTATCGTATCCGGGTTTCTTTTCCATTGTTCTTGTGCTAAATATTCTGCAGCCTTGTGGTGGTATTCGCTTCGTGGAATCCTTTCTTCCGTCCTTATCTCGAAATTTTGTGTATTTCAGCCGTGGAGCTTTTCTGAGACGCTTCAAACCATTCCAGGAATAAGAAGACCCTTCCATTTCTTCTAGTTGTTGCAAAAGGTCTGTCTCTTTGTCTTTACGCACTTGGTTTTTAATTTTCTGCGTGATCTCTTGAGCGATCTGTGGCTGTCCTTGCCTGCAAGCTTCCTGTCTAGATTCCATAAGGTTCCAGGCGGTAGCAGAAATATAAGGTTGTCGTTGATTTGGGGGAATGACCGTGAAGGACAGACTAGCTGCTTTTTGCAAACATTGAGCAAAGACCGTAACAGGGGTTGTGTCAAAATTTGGGGGGGGCAACCTTGGAGTTGTCGGATAATTTGGTTGTACTTCAGGCGTTGCTCATCGGAGGGCTCACGGTATTTGGGCGCGTGTGCTGTTGACTTTTTTGTTTGTTTCGCAAACTTAATTACAACGTCTACAACTATCATTTTATGATCTGATTCAAGAGAGGTATGGTGAGTCGGATTGACATTTCTAATTGCATTTCTCCACCTGCGTTTTGACAGAATATGATCAATTTGCGAAAACCTGGTACTCGTAAACGGTGATGCAAAAGTCGCAGCTTGCGTATTTCTGAAAGTGATTAGGTCATTGTGATGTTTCTGGAACATTGTGGAGGAGACAACGTAATCCTCTTCCAAGCAGAACTATACAAACAACTCTCTGTTCTCCATTTGCGCTTCGGGTAGGCTGTCTATGTTTTGGTCGTCTGGGTTGAATATATGAGGTCCGATGTGCTCTCGTTCTTCAGGGAGACTTTTTAACAACTTAGCATTGAAGTCCCCGAGTATGATGTGTTGGTTGTGTCGTCCGTATTGTGTGGTGATTTCTCTCAATTTTTCATAGTAATGTATTTTTTCGGAGGAGGGCTTTGCGGAGTGTGGGGCATGAGTGCCAGTCAAATTCATTGTCCCGCCTTTACTCCTGAGCGAAAGGGTGATGTTACTATTGTCATGTTGAACAACATCGATCTTTGAATTTGAAAGATGTCTGTGGTAAACAACTGCTACTCCTAGCTTTTCTGCGTCCAGATTGTAAAGTTGAAGATAGTTGAAGCTGGTTTTTCCCTTTATTCTTACCTTTCCCTGCTACTGTTTTCGCCATTTCTCTTGCTTTATACGCTTCTTCTCTTTGCTGATTCGTAATGGAGGAAGAGAAAACAAAACAATATTGGTCATGATGTTCTTCAGTGTTTGTATTGATGTGTGTTTCTTGTAAAAACAAGATATCCAGTTTGTGAGTTTTCATCATGTGTACAACTTTTTTCCCTTGCTGAGATGTGGTTAGCACCCTTACAGTTGAGGGTTGCGATCTTCAAGTTTTTCTGTATTTTTGTGCACGTGTTATTGCTGTGAAAATGTCCATTGGTGGCGGTCAAGCCTTCTTGAGCCCTATGATAAGTGCACTCCTGGAGGGCCAAAACAGGAGAGAACTTCCTCACCATTCTGTGCAATTTTCTTTTCTCTTGGCCTTTCTGACTTCTATTGCATTTACGCATCAGGATTGCAGCATTAGACCGTCTAGTTTTTCGTTTTGATTTGTAAATGGTTTTTGGGTCATCATTTGTTGAAAGTAAATGCTTGTCCCGGTTGTGATTCCATCTTTCATTACTAACGCATTGGTGAGACTTGGTTCGAGTGACCTTCAGTTGCCGCTGCCTGTTGGGGCGCGGCTTTCCCGCATTCCCAAAGTGGGGGGAGGTCGACAGGGTGGATTCAATACTATTGTAAGGGGGTTTGAACTTATCAGTATATCGGCTTTTTCGTGCTTTTGGTGAGCTGCTGTGTCCCGTCTTCAGATGGCGTTCTTCTCTTCTGTCAGTAATTTCTTCGTATTTATTTGGTAAAGGCAAAAAATGCCTTGATGGCACAAGGTGCCTGTCTGGGTCGGCGGTGCGTCTGAAAGACTTGAAAAAAGGAGTAGTCCGTTGAGTGTGTCGTGCGGTTCGTTGGTCGCCTTGGTTCTGTTTGACGTTCTTTTTTCCATCCGTTTTTTGCTGAAGAATTGTGGGCTATGCTTGTCTTTCCTCCCTGTTCCCTATTCAACAGCATCACTACGGGACTCACTCTTGTACGTCTCGTACTCCTGCAGCCAGTTGGTCACCTGGTGGAACAAAAAGGTGAAGGGGAACTTGCCATATTCATCGGCGTTGCTCATCGTTTTGGTGGGTGCTTTCCCTCGTCCTTTGCCCTTGGTTTTGGTTTTTGTTCCTTGTCCTTGTCCGTAGCTCGTGGCAAACTGGCTCTGAAATGCGTCCACGAAGGTCTCAAAGTGAATGCTGTGATCCACATAGATTTTGGCTGCGCCTTTTGAGGAGTTGAAGGTGATCCACACTAGGTAGGAGCCCTTGGTTTTGATAGCGTTTTCTGGCCAAACTGGTGCAAAGTCCTTGTACTCGAACACTTCCCTCAAGACCATCATTGCTGTTCTCATCGGTGCTCCTTTGATACGGTCCCAGATCGGGATCTGGGGCTTGAAGATGAGGGTTCCATTGCTCTGTGTGTTCATCTCGGATTTCTCTCCTAAGGCCTGTGTTTCATCAGAAGTCCAACATTCAGGGATGCCTTTCGGGAATTTTTCTTTCTGCCAATCTAGTAGCTTTTTCCTGATCCATGGCTGTGCTAGCTTGACGTGGGATTGGGGGGAAATGCTGTCAGCTTCCACTTGGTGACTGTATTCACGATCTGCTGGCCAAAACCTTTTGCTCACACCTGCTTCACGTAGACACCATTCAATGATGCGCTCTCTATGCGTGTACTCATCTTCAAGGTTGGTCGCCTTCTTGTACTTCACCCAGTTGATGACGACGAACTCACTTGCGCATTTCTCTGTCAGTATCGGCCTGGGTTTTCAGGGTGAACAGGATTTGGTTGCCTTGGGTGTTCAGTTTGCTGTGCACAATCTGGAGGTCATCTCTGAGAATGGCTAGTTCCATGTTGAGGTCTTGTTTTTCTTCTCTTTCTGGCTTTTCCATCTGCTCAGGTGCTTCTTCTTTTGCGATGTTTTGTTTCTTGGCTTCTCTGTCTGGTGTCTTGGCTGGCGTGAGTTGTCTTTTCTCTTTTTCGGTTTCCATCTCTAGCATCGCATTCTCATCATCCGCCATCATTTGCCCGGCTGACTTTGGTGCCCACTGCCGTGTGGCGGCCGACATGCGTGCAGCTACCCTTACTAATCACAAAGAGAAACAGGTACCCTGGGGATATGGCTTATATACAGTAGTCATTTGTTGGTTGTACGTCTCAAGAATTTCATTCTTGTTGGCTGAAAAAACCGTTTCTCTACTTGGACCGGCCGTAGGGAAAATCTACGGGAAACCATGTTGTTTCCCATGAAAATGGTTGTTTCCTGTAAGTTTTCCCTTAAACCCAATCCAATAACTATGATTTACATTGATTTACAGGATGAATCCAAACTAGATAACTAGGGCGCTAAGTAACTATGGTTCATGATCAAACTAAACCATAGTAACTAAAGCCATGCTTTCATGGATTTCATGACAAATCTCATCCAAGTGACCAATCTCCGATCCAGCCAGGTGCCGGAGCTCCCTTCACCACTGGGCAGCCGCTGTGGGCCACCACCTCCAGATATGTTTGGATGATCTTTAAATTCATTGGAGCTTAAATAGTCTTAAATCAACCATTTGAAATCAACCATGTTTTATGGATGTTCCAGAGATTTAATATGATTTAGTCCAGAAGATATTATGAACACTGCTGAGTTTCCCTCGCCGATTGCAGTTCTTTTAATCTAGTAGCCAAGCTGGATAGCGGGAGACAAAATATACATTAAACATATACTGTATGTGTAAAGAATCAAAGCGCCTAGCCGCCCTAACCTCGGAGAACCAGCTCGCGCCTTGCCGATCTTCGCCGCAGCGCTGAGCTTCACCAACAGGATGCCCGTGGCGAAATTCCCGGCAGCGTGGCGGTGCGCGACCACATACGGAACCTGAGGTAGGAGGATCGTTGCTCGAAAAGGGGTCGTTCCGGTAGATGGACATATATTTGTGTTATAACTGATATAGTATTGTCATAATTATAACTATTATAACTATACATAGTATGTATTGTTATAGCTGATATAGTACTGTTAACAGTATCAATATAACTGTTATAAATTGGGTTTCGTAAGTCATGGGGATACCTCAATAAGTCTCAATAGCTGGGTTATTTGCTGGAAATTCCAAAAAAACAATGGGTGATTTCGGGTACCCTTATGACTTAGGAAACCCTCACATATCAAACTAGTTAGATGGGATTATATAATTATATAATATTATAAACCAACTTATAACTGGGGGTCCATCATGACCTTAATCGTCTACAGTCTCAATGATTGCGACATATTGTGTCCCCACTGAGGCTGCATGGAAGAACATGGCGACCGAAAGTGACTCGATCGCCATTTCGATGTGATGGGTCTGATGGAATCGCCATTTCTACCGTCTTGTGTCCAGGTCACGTGATTCGGGAGAAAATGCCCATAAATGGTATAGAGAACATGCGCAAGCAGAACTGCCATGATCACCGGGTGCATCTGATGGAGCCGACTCCACTGGAGACCCATTGGCTCGCCTAGCAGCTAAGGTCATCATTTATATGTACATATAGTCTAAGATATTATATCAGATAATATTGTATGATGTTATGTTATATTAGGGTATATATATATATATCTGTATAAATACATGCTATATCATATCATATTGTATTGTATTGTGTTGTATTGTGTTGTATTGTGTTGTATTGTGTTGTATTATGTTATATAATATTATATTATATGATATTAATTTAACTTATATTATGTCATTAATTAAATTATATTATTGTGTTGTATTACATGTTAGTATACATTTTAGTATAACTACATATATATATATACACATGTATACATATGATTAGGTATGTATATATATATATACTGTACTATAGAGTGCCGAACATAAGACATCATAAGACCACATAAATAGAAATAACACATATTAAAACTTAAAACGTAATAAGTTGTAAGAAGTAGATGCTCAATCAGTTGCTCCATAGCACCAGAAAAAATGGAGACCGGCAACCCAGTTTCTAGTTTCCCTTTGATGCGTGCTTTATATATATATACTGTATATTATATTGCTTACTTTTATAGTGTTTACTTTATATATATATATATGCTGTATATTATTACTCGGAAAACAAACATGGCTGGCAACTGTCCCAAATGGCAAAATATTTGCCTGTTGAAAGGGAGGGGGGTAAATTTCCATCAGGGTACCGCAAACAGCGTGGCATATGGTGGCCATCTTTGTGCCTAAGATGGCCTAGGCGCCTACTGAGGGCCCATAGAGTCCGAAGATGAAGCAATACATCAAAGCATCCACAAAGTTCCACGTGAAAACCTCATTTGATTCTGCAAGGACAACAGAAACAACCAATGGGTCAACATCAATCTACCATAATTTTCTCGGGGGGGGCAACAGCCCCACGCGCCCTTTAGTGAATTGAGGCTGGTACGTCAACAACCAGGGTCGAGATGATGTAGAGGTGCATACAGCAAATTACGACGATGCCGCATTGAACAAGGATTGGGTCGTTGGAAAGCACCAACAAAGGTCCAAGCGTTTCACACAAAGCACACACCACTGAGAAGACTTTGGCGGCTCTTGTAAGGCGGTAATCAGCATCTTTGTATCCTGCTTGCAATTGGCAAGAACATGTGCAGCTTAAAACACTGACACCTACATTACCAACATCCAAAGATTATTGAACTGCTCCAAAGGCACTGCTAAACCTGCAAACACTCTGAACTGCTCCAAGCATTGAATGGAAACCATTGATTGGAAATTTGGATCAATTTGGTGCTTTCTGCCGCCTGATCTCTCACAGGTCCCCTTGGTTTGGACAACAACATACCTGCAACATCCTGCAACTGCAGGTACTGCATAAGAGAAGAACTGCAAGCACTGTCCCGTCCTTTGTACATAGTTCTTCGAAAGCAGTCTGACCATGGTACACTCACCATGTACTTTGCAGACCACAAGTTACTCACATTCAAATACTTGAACCAAGGTCCAATCTTGCACCTCAGGCAAGAGTCTGCTAGTTGCTCCGTCTGAAATGCCACTTGTTGGGCGGTCAAGTTTGAGTCATCCCAACAGACATTACTAACGTACGTCCTGCGATGTGAAAACCTCCTGCTTTCCGAACAAATGGAGTCAATATGATTCAAACGCTGGCTTCCTTTTCATCCTTTTCCCAATCTGCTGAAAAAACTCTGACTCTGAGTGTCTCACCATCCAGAGCAAATGTAGAACCTTACCGTAGGAAGGACTCATATTTTAACACGTTTAAACATCAATGATGTCATAGATGCTCGCGATGGATCAACATGGCATGATCTGCTGATATCTGCTGAGGCCCCCCACCAGGTCATGAAGAGTTGCAGGGCAACAACCTGCCCCTGGTCCACTGGAAAGCACATGAAGATGAAGCAGTACATTGTTTGCGTGCCGTAGGTGTGCATGTGCTGGCCATGATCGAATAGAAATTCGTAGATCCTTGGAGATGAAAGGAGGACAGTTTCTCGGGTTTTTCATGTTTATCCAGCCAGTCGCAGAGGCACAAGACAAGAGCAGCAATAGGAATAGGATGACAATGAAAGAAATTGCTTGTCAAAATGACACTCATCCACCCACAGAGTTTCCACAAGATCCTCGCAATCTCAATGGACTCTGTACACTATTGGCCGTTCTTTCACAACCCAACACCATCATTGATCTCTGGTTTTGAAAACACAACCGAATATAACCCTGATTTGGCTTTGTCTGAAAATAGGGTACCCCTGAAATGCGATGCTGGTTTATCATCGTTGTTCCTATTAACATCATTAACCCGGTTGTATCCGTTGTTGGTTTTTCAGACAAACCCATTTGGAGGTTTCTTGAATGGGGGATCCCCAATAGCAGGGCGGTTTATCACGTGTATTCCATGGAACAAGCCACAAAAACATGGATTATTTGGGATGATTTGGGGCTACCCGCAGCCATTAGGAACCCGCCATTTGACTTCGAAACAACATGAAACATCATCTGGTTGGTGGTTTTAACATGTTTTAACCATCTTGAAAAATATTAGTCAATGGGAAGGATTATCCCATATATTATGGAAAATAAAAAATGTATAAACATGTTCCAAACCACCAACCAGTCATGAAACAACCTTCAGCTCGAGAAACAAACAGGCCACCAAGGGTTGCATCAGCTCTGGGGTCACTTTTGGCGCCAAAAGGACGCGGATCGTCAGAGCATACATCAGAAATCCGTCGACCAAGACGTCCAGGCAGTTCCTCAGGAGAGTTTTGATGATGGATGCTGTGCAAGTTCATGATGATCAATGATGATCAATGATGATTGATATGATGATTGATATGGAGACAATTCCAGCATATTCCAGCTACCGGAGGGGTACTGTGAAAGATTCAACTTCTATACAACTAGTGGACCATTCCATGCACAGTTTGGGTTGTCGCAAATGATTGTTGGGGATCCTATGCGATCCAAAGCAAAGGCAAGGAACCTGAACTCACTGCGGATCCCAGCTCAAACACCACCAAGGCACCGTTTCATCGACAAACAGGGCATGAAGGGAGCAGTGTACTTCATAGACCCAACTGTAAACCGATACCACCAGTCCTTCAAAAGGAAGTGGTAGTTGGGTTGCCTGTTGGCTCGGGAACTGAAAACATCAGACTTGACTTGCAATTTGCCAATTTGCCAAACTCAAGCAACATTTACACTTCCCACTAGCAAAGCTCGCAAGGGATATGATATATCGGCAATGTGGCCCTCCTTCACGTGTGGTTTATGTGGTGTTAAGTAGTGCAACCAGAACAACCACAACAAAGAGACAACTATGCTGCACAAACCCTCTACCAAAAGCAGCTTAACTTCATGGGGCACCGAAAAATACAACAGCCTTAAATGATCCTTAAATGACTAGCTAATTTCTGGCTCAGGTGACCCAGGTGTCAGAAACCGTCTCCCATATCCAGGGCCATTGATGGCCATTGATGCAGATCAGTCCTGGAACGGTGGATTCACTTTGCCTTGCATGGGCCCATGGATGACGCCCAGCCCCAAGGCTTCCCAGAAATTCCAGAAAACCAGGAGCTTCTGAAACAGCGTCAACCTGCGCGGTCAGGGGAACCGTTTATGACAAAAAGGCCAAAAAAAAAAGCACGAGCTGAACAGGGTGTGGCTATGGAACTCAAACGTATTCTACACAATTTGCGGTTTGAAAAAGGTTTTGAAATCTTTCCAAAGAGATTCAACAGCAGTATCAGTTTTCGATCATCGCAATCCCATCGAACACAACTTCGTCTTCTCAAACCATGGCTGTTGCAATCCATGAGATCCATGGCTGATCCAAGTTACCAGGGGACATTGGAGCCCATTGGAGTGGTCCAGTAGGCTACAGCGAAGTAAAACATCAAAAAGACTAAGACCATGGTCCAGTGCCTCGGGAGATGTGACCAAACATGACCAGTACGACCAAACGCTGGAGAAATTTAGAGTAAGAACGAGGGAGTTAAGCTCATTAAGATGGGGTTATATGATGTTATATGATGTTATATGGCAGTGTGTCAAAACCTTGTACCCCTGGTGAACATGAAAATAGCTGGTAAATGGATGTTCATCCCACTAAAAATGGTATTAATAGGTATTGATTCATAGCCATATTATGTTATATTCGTGATATATCAAGCTTCCCCAAAATCTCGAGGTTAGGCATCCCGCGAAGTCGTTCAAGACAAGCTGCCATGCCATGATGGCCCAGTTGATTCCAAGTCCCGTGTTGGGATCCAAGATATGGGCCACACCCACATCCTTAGAGTGGCTGGGTCCCACAATGGGCTACCCCCTGGTGCCATGCAAAAAAACATCAAGATCCCGTGGAAAACTGCGGTGGCAGTAGAACCCACCCAATCCAATGGTTTTTTCATAGCTTTCACACCTTCAAATCAACAGAAAGCGAGGTATCCCCGTATCCCCCATGGAGAAACCCATGGCAGCCATCTCAGCTGGGGTGACTGAGTGGATCCTAACCAAGCATCAGTTTTGGATGGCAAGTCCTTCCCCTGCACTTTGGCTTCCTCGGGTGGACAGCGCGCGCCTTTGGCCACCGTGAAAATGGACGAAATGTCAAAGGAACTGCCCAGGCTTCTCCATGTCATCTGCGACCTAAATGCGGCGAAGGAGAGCAATGGCAGCTGGCAAGGTGGTGGGATATCATACTAAAAGCTACTTGTTATGATATGTTATGATCTTGTATGGTATAATGTTAGTTATACAACCTAAACTATACGTGAAAAAGGAAAACACTCAAACATACCGATGAAAAAAATCACAATCAACAACAACTCACAACTATCAACATTTGTTACGTTTCGAACAGAGAGTTGGAAACGGAATTCTGTGGAGGTTTCTTCCACCAGTCGCATACAAATACCATGGCCATATCCATTATTTATTGCCTAAATTCCATTCAATTCCTATGTATTCCTATGCACTCATCACCAATCACCACCATATGATTGGAAATTGGCTTTTAAAACTCCTCCATTTCTGGTCGTGAAATCCCCACTGTTTTTCTGTTTGCTGAGCACCGAACGACAAAAACAGATTTCGTGCTGCGACGTTGCGGACGCAGTTTTCTCTGGCCCGTCTCTGAGCCAGAGGAACGCAGCAAAATCAATAGGATTCAACCGTCAACAATAGGGATTTCATGGGATTTAATATGATTTAATTCATCAAACTCGATAGTCAATGGTTGGATTTCAAGGAAATCTAGAGGAAACATGAGGAAACGCTGGTTTCTACCCCAACAATCCCCAACATATTATATAGGTCTCCAGTTTCGATTTTTTTTTTCAACCTATTCTGGGAAACGATCAATGTGGCGAGCATCCCGCACCTCGTGATTCAAGCTTGTGCGGCCATGTTTATCCTGGGGCAGTCATCATATGCAGATGCATTGCAAATTCCAAGTTTACTGTAGATAATTGGCAACTGATAATTTAGTGTAGATAATTTATGATAATTTGGTGTACTGTAGATATTTGGTGTAAATAATTTATGATAATTTGAGGTGGTAGCAAACTGACACCCTCCCAAATCCCAGATCATCCAGATCCATTCCTTTCTCACCAACCCAATTCTTTTTTGCTTAGCTTCTCATGATTGCACATATTTGATGGTAAAGTCTCAAGTTTATTTTCCGGCTCCCGGAAATTCGGTCCAGGCCATATAGTCTTTGCATATCTTTCAATAATGCATCCGTTGCAGCTCGGACCCTTCCCAGTCCTCCAAGATGACTTCAAGGCCATCTGCCTCAAAAAATCATCAGTTTGAAGTGCCAAAACAGAAATCATCCTGCAGCTTCATTTTTTGTGAATAAGAATAAGTTTATTTTCTCCCACAACAATTGCCAGCATTTCTTTCTGATATCGTAGATTTTATCCGCATCAAAACCCATTCATATGACTCAAAGTAAGGGATGCTAAAATCATCCAAAAGTAATGGCAATGCTTAAAGCTTATTGCGGACATAGTATACAATAAACAGTCAATGATGTGGGACCCCCAATGCCATAAACCCTACTGGGGATGCACCTGGCGCCGCAGCGCCAAGCGCAGCCGGACGATCTCATGCTCCCGCAAGGGCACGTCTTCCAGTGGCAGGGTGAGAGGTTTCACCTCAACGGCGAAACTTGGGTGAGTTTTTTTGGGACATTTTGGAGGAAACCATGGTTGAAAACATGTTTCAAGCCGCACATAGCCTAAAATATTGATATGTTTCCCGATTTTCCCTTGAACCAATCAATTAAGTGGCGCTTGGCAGATGAGGTCGCAGAAATCAATGAATGATGATTTATTTCTTGTAGAAAAAAACGTATACAGAAACCATGTTTTTTGTTTTAATGCAGAATATGATAATTGGATTGGTTGACTATCTCTTAGTCAAAAACTGTCCGAACAAATGTTGGAAGACTGAAAACTGTACAGAATGCAGGGGTGGTTTGGGGAAATTTAAACTGGAAAACTATGATGTTTATTCCCAAATGTATATATATATATACATATAATCTTATATGTATATATATATATGTATATGTATATACAGGTTTCCGGTTTCAATTGTCCCATCATCCAATGATATTGAAGAAACCGATTCAAATGAGGAGAACTATGAGGATGAAGGGATAATGATTATGGTGCTGGTGCTGTTTCTGGTGCTGGTGTTGGTGCTGATGCTGCTGCTGCTGATGGTGATGATGATGGTGATGGTGATGATGATGATGATAAAATGATAATAATCATGATTATGATCATGATTCATGGTCATGATCATTGTTCATAATCATGATAGTCACTACCATTACTCTGGGCCCCCAACTGCTTGCTCCCAACTTTCGCAACCACCTACCCAGCAGCAATCTCAGCAGCAAACCGAAGGGAATATAGGGAATGAGGGAACACATATGTAAACAAACGTAAAACAAATTCTATATGAGCAAATAACAACATCAAGAAAATACTCTACATCCATAAAAATGTTCGCGAAGTTTCCCATCTCTCATCGCCGATGAAGTTTCCCATCGTCCGTATCATTCCATCGACCTCTCTGTGAGGTGTGGATGCGACTGTTTCCGGCTCCATCGAGCTGTAACTCCTGGAGCGTGGGATGGGGATGTGTCGGGTTATTTAATATAGAGGTATCTTAATTAATTGTAGTGATAATATGGGGGTACCACCATCTTGGAACCCCCCCTAAGAATAGTTCTAGAAACATGGTTCCCTTAGAGATGATTTATGATTTACCTATAATGGATTGTGATTGTCCTTAGCAAACTTTTAAATAACCAGAGGGTACCACTAAATCCACCAGTTAATCATCATGTTGCCTTGTTGAAAATGGCTGTGCGGCTATGATGTTGGGTGTCAAAAAATGGCTTGTGACTACAAATAGATGAACATAGTAAAAACAATATGGCAATTTCACAGTTTGCTATGGAAACATGGTCCATTAAGTTCAATGATTTTCCTATGATTTCAATGGATTCTCCATAACAAACTGTTGAATTCCCTATGGGTCGGTTAGAAAATTGGCTACCCCACAAGTTTGATGGTCAATCTGAGTCAATCTTCAATTTCCCCACTTATCCACTTGAAATCACACGAAATCACCATATTCTTTTATAGGTAATTACCACCCATTTGCAGACAGGCCCATACAGCATCCTGTTCTACATCAATTAGTGATAGTCAGAGTCATACTTGGAAAATTCCAATGATATATATATATAATATATATATAATATAAGCAACTTTAAACCCCATGATCTGAAAGCAGGTGTCCGTTCATCGGATTGATTTTCAGGAAAGAAGACCGTACCTTTTTCCCCATCCGCCATAAACGCCATGACTTTGCTGCCCAAAATCCATAAGAATTCCACAACATCCAATGATCTCGTTTTTTCAAGTGTATATATATATAATATGTATATGTATATATAATATATATATATATGTATATATAATATATATATATAATATATAATATGTGTATATATATATATCTATATATATATATATATGGCCGCAACCTCCTTATAACCCCCCTTATTAACCCCCTTATGAAACCCGATATCAACCCCATATCCAACGTTGGCAAATCTGTGGTCCATCCGCCCAGCCAACTGAGGCAACCCGGCCCACCAATAGATTAAGGCATGCGCCACTCCGGTCTGACAGTGGATAACGGCCGAAACGCACCAAGTGGATTCATGTGGTAGTAAAATTGGCATAAATTGGCTGGATCCTGTATCAATCTGTATCTCTATAGAATCTAATTTTCCAAAATTCAGCTGTATGTGTGTGGTGGATATATGGTGGATCTAAAAAAAAAATACTCTTTAGACTTGTCAATCTTCAAGCCCGGCTCCGGCCCTGCGGATCATTTCCAAACTAGTCCTTTCTGCAAAGTCTACATGTTGAGATGACTTAAGCTGCTGCACTTTGCTGTGGGCTTCTCCAAAAACAGGGTATACCAAATCATCATATTCCTCCCATGAATGGCCATAAAATGTGGGTATGCCCCATTTTCAGACACACGCGATGGCACGTGTTAGCAAATCCAGCCTTCTGCACGCGCAACTCTAGAGGCGGATCGATCCAATTTCCCAGATTGCTGTACCTAGCGGACTGTGCTTCCCGCGGTTCCAATGGTTCAAATGGCACCCCTGGGAGCCAAACAAATCTTCAATCTCCTGCAAGTCGAACGTTACCTGCAAGGATCGCTCTATTGATTGGTGCGACGAAAAACAGGGAGAACATGTTCAACTGCCATGAGGCGTCGGCCTTTGTCAAAGAACTGAACAAATCACCATGAAAGGGCCATCACTGGCCTGAAGTCTGCCCTAACTCTAACTGTCTAGCCTAGCTACAGTAGTTGTGACGTGAGAGGATTTGGCACAGCAAACCTCCGAAACCTCTGAGGATGGGATCTATCTGGGTCTCCAAGAGAGGACATCATGAAAAACCATGAGTTTTTTTTTGGGGTACCTTATTTTCAAAGAAATCCATATCATATATCATTCTTTGTAAAAGAAAACAGTAGAATATGTCTACCCGGTATCGTTATCACTAAGCATATCAATCATCATCAACCATCCACCAACCATACTCAACCATAATGCACCATCACCAACCAGTATGATACAATCATCCCGTCCATCAAGCACAGCATTGGCATTTTCGTGCAACGGTGCAACTGCTTGAGAAGCTCGGTGCCCCGACTAACTCCACCGGCTCTGTGAGAGCCACGTGGGCGATGGTGGACATGGTCTCGCAGCTGTAGCGCTCACTGTGGGCGGGCCAGGGTCACGTGTGTCTGAAAGTGTGGTACAACACCAACAAAGATCGCGTGATATTTGCGTTTAGCAGTGGGGGAAACTTATGATTCGTCTGGCTTTTCTGCATTTTTTTGGACACACCCCAGTCAGGTGACCACCCAAGGGTTGACGATGATACGATGTTTATAGTATACTGTCTAATGATAACTTGATAACCATCTATTGGTGCTTTAAAATAAGGGTTTACTGTTTACTCATAAGGGTTCTTAAAAAATCAACCACTTATAAAGACAGCTATAGCTTTTTGAAGCAACCAATAACCCATAACCCATCAATAGATGGATATCAATCGTGTTGCAGCACCAACCATCTGCCTGTTCCGCAGTCGAGCTCCTCTCAAAGGAACCTCGTTGAACACATGGACTTCCAACATCACGGGGATGTTGACACGATTCCATGTTTAATCGTAGAATCCTACGAATCAACATTAGTATTGTTATAACTGATATAGTAATGTTATAAACACATTAAGTAGTATTGATATAGTATATTTGTTTATTATGTGTTTTATAACTGTTATAATATGGGGTTTCCTAAAATGGGGTACATCAATAGCTGGATTGGATGGTTTATGATGGAAAATCCCCAAAAAAAACGTGGATGATTGAGCAGTCTCACTTTCGGCTTTTTGAGAGTGACATGACCAATCTCAAGTTGGACCTCGTGTTTGCACAAACTTCCTCAGATATTCATATTCATACATTTTCCTGCCCTTTTCCTGACATCTTACGAAAAAAAAACTCATCGTTTTGGCGGCGACCAACGAAATCCGGCATCTCTCGGAGAAAGCCACCATCCTTGGGGTCCAAACCCCCGCTGGCGATTCCAGAACTGCAAAACGTTCCAGCAGCTCCGGTGCCTGGACCGGTATGGACCGGTATGGACCCGATGGGCTCGTGCTCCCCAGTTGTGCTCCCCAGTTTTTTTCGATGGGCCAACAGTTACCCTCTGGTAATTTAACATAGCTATGGAAAATCACCATTTTTAATGGGAAAATCCACTATAAATGGCAATTTTCAATAGCTATGTTAAATTACCAGAGGGTAGTCAAAAAGCACTCGCAAAGTTTCCCAGTCCCGATGTTTACACATTTCGATCAAATCATTTAGATCATCCAACCATTTCACGTGTGCAATCAGTCACCTCCCGAACGATCCACCCGTTGAGGACATGTAGGGACACATTTCGCAATGAACCTGTTGCATCATCCAAATTGTCTCATGTTTATCTTAGTTTGCTATCAATCAAAATTGAAGACTCCGACATGAGATGAATACCAAAACTCATGTTCCAGTATGGATGTTGAGTCATTTTTATCTAAAAAATGTCATGTGGGCAAAACATGGTAAAACAATAATAAACCATCCCCCAGATCACCATAAATAGAGCATTTTTTGGGTTCGCCATAGCAATAGCTCGATGTTCCCAATGGCACCTCCACGATCTGTCCAAAGATTTTGGCCCTAGCTGGGATCAAAATGCCATTGGGCTTCAGCAGCTCCTACACCGGTGGAAGAACCAATCATGGTTTCTCATTGTACATTAATACATATTAATACTGGATAATCTTGGAGACTGTAATATTGGTACATACTATTTTTGGGTATATGTGGTACCTCATGCTATATATCATATATTGTTTACGGTATATTAATATTATATGAATATTAATATTGGTACCTCATGGTGATTCTTGGGGGACTCCCCCCCACAAACCCAACTGTCACCCCGCTCCGGTCCCGACGCGCATGTAAGATCGTGGGCAGCGCATGCCTCAACAACAGTCGCTCGTCTTCCCAGCCATCGCCATGATTTCAACATATTTCAACCACCTGTGGCAAACCCAATGCCATGAACCACCCAAAATCACCATAAATGTGGCTTTTTATTGGAATGCCTTAGTTGGATCATGATCCCTGTTGGAAAGTTCAACACAACCAGGTGAAACCCTTGGCGATTCCTTGAGTCTGGAAACGTGCGGATAACCAGCTGAAAAAGGCACACAACTTCCGGAAAATTTAGGGGGAAGTCCACCGAAATTCTCGGGTTCATCATCATTTCCCCGGGTCAACTGCCCCATGTTTACGACCCAACATGACTCACGTCTGGATCTCTGAGAAAGCGTACTCCCCCAGCAGGCCGGCGTCAAAGACTTCGCAGAAGATGAGGTCAAACTTTGGCAGTGTCAACTTGGTGCTCACCTGAGTTACCAGCGAACAAATGAGGGGATATCCCAAAGCGCCATGAGTTGGAAGATATTTCAATGGGGAAAATATGGGAAAATGAATTATGCTTGGCAGATTTGCATCTCTTGACTCCACCTACATTTTGAGCCAATTTTGCAGGTATATAACGGTATACGGTATATAGATAAACGTGGGTACATGTTCGTAAATCGAAGCACAAAACATATACCGATCATATACCATATTATACCATACAAGAAGCATCTACACTGTGCAAAGGGTTGCCGTTTTTCTTCAGCTTGGCTAGCGGAATTCAGGAAGGCAGTGGTGCACAATGTTGGAGGCCTGAATTTCATGGTACCAACACGAGAAACCAGGAGTGGCCACTGAAATGGGTCTGAGAAATTAGAGCAACAACAAAACTTCCAAAGATATCAAAATCCTACAGTATGGTTTAACACCTTTCAAAATATCATAGTGTCATATGAGTCATATGTTCCCTGTTTAAATGCCCATAAGAACTTCCGAAGTCTACATGTTCAGGCCATTCTCGGCCCGTCCTGGGTCTCAAAGCCATGGGATGCACTGTGACTGGTGCCCAGGATGGAGGTTGGGATGCGATGACCTTCAAGGATTCGTAAGACAGGCATGTTTTGACACCGGACGACAAAAGAAAACTACCTCTGACTTTCAGATGACCGGTTTGTTGGTTTCAAATGGTTTCAATATGTTTCAATGTTCCTCCTTCTCCTTCTCGTTTTATCCTCACAGTTCTCCTCGTTGATCCCATGAATCCACCATGGTGGCCTCTTTTGCCACGGCGCACAGGGCGTCATTCATCTCACAGGCGTGGATCTCTTTGACACCCTGGAAACTCAGAGGAAAGGATGCGAAGATCTAAAGGGAAACCTAGTTTAGGGAACATGGGAAGACCATGAATGTCCCAGAATTTGAAAACACAAATTATGATTTGCTAAGTCTGTATCCCTAAAAACGTGATGGCGACAGCCATGGTTTCTTGGATGATTGATGTGAGCTATGCGGCTGTGCGTTTTTGAGGATATCAATGGGAATCAACCCAGTGAGCTGGAACAAAAGATCATCCAACATCACGGGCCACAATCCACCCTGGTCAATTGGATATGTGTCAAAACATAAGACATGGGGAACCACCCATATCATCTAATTTGAGGGTTGCAAGGCCGTACCATTTTGATCCATACTCATGTACGAACACATTTTACATCAAAAATTGTAGGTGTAATCATGTTGAATCAGAATTTGATTGCTAAAATTTTGCCATGTTTCTTTTGTTGGTCAATATCCACATTTTTGTTTGCTTACATTCCTATTCGTTGTGGCAGATTCTCGGTTCTGCAGCTTTATAATCGTTCCGTGTCGCCGCTTCCGAGAAACATTGTTTCACGGCGTACCAGTGCCTCCAATCGAGCGCACATCAGAGAGAGCCTCGGGTCGTACGACCAATGTAGGATTGTCTGTGCATGATTGAAAATATTAGCGGGAGTATTTGGGTTTGCCTGAAAATAGGTTGCCGCCATTATATTTTGATTATCATTTTCCCTATATCCAAATGGTCTGATCTTTTCTTAGCAAATGCTCCGTTTGCGAGGACAAATCCATATCCCTTTTTCAGTGCTGAAACCTCGTGACATGCCCCTAACTTGCCTGGCTCATCCCCCAGTAGAATGGACAAACATTGGTTCATAATATATATATATATTTGTATGTGTGTATACATATATATATATATATATATATTATGTGAAATCATATGCCCATAAAATGGTATAATCATATATAACAATCATCAACCAAGCATAATTTGTGGATTATATCCTTGTATTTCTTGATGATTGAACCCCTTTGTAGCTCAAATACCCACTGGGCTCCAAACAGTCCGGTGCCTGCGCCAATGTCCAAGGCACGTACTCCCCCTGCTTCAAGCACCTGGCCGGAAACCGTCGATCTGGGATGAAATCATATAGGAGCCCTGGTGAGAATGGCATTTAACGGTATTCAACCAACAAACATGGGAATTATCATGGGATATTTAATGATAAATATAAAAATAACTAATATAGTCTATATCATGGCAAATTATATATTTGTATATCTTGGGATATATGAATTTAGTGGTTAATATTTTGTGTAAATGACGGTACATCATGGCAGATCATAGAACCCTATGAGAGGGGTTTAGCCAACAATCATGGGAATTATCATGGGATGTACAATGGTAAACGCAATTGTACGTGTATAGATAGACAGATAGATAGATAGATAGACAAACAGACAGACAGATAAAATGAATATAAGCATTTTAATTTATCTCAATTTGTGTGGCTTCTGGTCATCCCATCATCGTGAATGGGAATCCAAACACGCCTTTTGGCGGGGGAGGGTGGGCGATGGAATGAATTTTGCTGCTTGAGCTGTTTTCAGCTGATGTATCTAGATGGTCAAAGCTGATAATGGATTTTTTAGGTGAGGTTCACTGAGCTATGATCAAGTTCAGTTGATAATTTAAAAATTCACATTTACCTGTGCCTTGGATGAAAAACCATGAGAATCCATGACAAACAATAACAGCCAGTGATGGTTGATGATCTTATACGAGTATATACTTGTGGGTGATTTCATCTTGATTTCATGGGAGCTGACAATCCGCGTAAATCTGCCGCAGGAAAAAAACATCACAACCATGTCTGTTTTACAGCTGGATGTTTTGCTCAAGAAATGAAAGACTCCCAGTTTATCCCAATTTGATACATGTAGCCATATAGCTAATAGATGTACGCACCTAATGAATCCTAAAGGTGCTCTGATTGTCAACCATTTTGCCCAAAGCGGCATTGATGCCACTCAAGGTCATTTGGCGTTACTGCGACATCAGTACCGTTTCAATTTCAGCAGACCAGCGCTCAAAGCCACTACGGTAGTGTTTGAGGGCGCTTGAAAACAAGGCATGAACAGGCTGTCCACCAATCTATAGGCTGTGCGCCAAATAGCCTTCTTCTAGCACCTGCTAGATGCACGAGAAGGTTGGTAGCACACTGCCATAGGCACTTGTAAAGGCCGCGAGTCATGCGCCACGAACAGCATACCACTCATACGGACCTTTGGAACACACCGCCCAAACTGTGCCTGGGTTTGGTGTGCTGCATTGCAGGAAACCGAAGTCTCCCTATCGTGATGGCCTATGAACGATTGATCCATTGGATAATGCTTGCTTCCGTTGTGGTCGTTCTCAAACAACTGTAGCAACTTTGGAGCTGCTTGTCAGGCACTAGGCCTTTTGAATGCACAGCTGCTTTGATCGTGCAAAATCATCGATAGACCTTAAGATAACGTTTCGGTTTTAAAAACTTCATCAGTATTGAAAGTTTGTTCTTCAAAACTTAATGGTAAAAATTGAGGGTTTTAAAAAATCGCGAGGAACTGGATAAAGCGCAGGGGTGTTATTTTCTTAGGCAGCCGGTGCTTTAATCCAACTTAGACAAGGTCCATCAGACTAGACTGCGCATAAGTCGCAATGAGTAAGATCCAAACCATTTGTGACAAGAGTGTTAAGCAGATTTCAAAATGCGCAAGCCGTCTATACCGAAGGTGAGCGCCGGAAAGCCATCCAATTGCTGACTCGCTTGCTATAGGGCGATCCTTTGTGCCATGCGGCTTTTGCCTTGTTGGCCCAGATCAATCTGGAACAATAGCAATTTAACGTCGCAGCAGACTTGATCCAGCAAGCCATTTTGTTGGATGGCTGCTGCTATTATCATACTTTCGGTTGTGCCTTACTACAACAAGGCAAACCCAGTTCTGCCTTGGCCAATATCCAACATGCCTTGACCTTGCAACCCGATGATCTTCCTGCCCAAACACAACTGGCGGCAACTCAGATCCGGCAGGGCGACTACTCAATCTCCGAGCAAGCCTTAAGCAAGATCTTACAACAAGATCCCCAGCAAGCCCTCGCGCAGCAATTGCCGGGCGATGTCTTTTTGTACCAGAGACAGCTTGATGCCGCCAAACTGGCCTACATAAAAACAGTGGCGCTAGCCGCAAACAACCTGGCGGCACTGAACAATTTGGGCATTATTGCCTGCCAGGAAAACCGCTTAGCAGAGGCTTCCGCGTATTTTAAACAAGCCATTACCGCCCACCCGGATGCAGCAGATCCTTCTTCTAATTTAGGCAATGTGTACAAAATACAACACCAACCTGAGCAAGCATAAGTGATCTTGCAAAAAAGCCCCGAGTTTGTTTGCCAAAAACAAGGCGTTGTGGCAATTTGTTTGGCGGAGCAATTTTCAACCATTAAGTAAGTACTAGAAAACGTTGTTGAAGTTTTCTTGAGCAACGGGCATTGAATCGACTAAACACAGGGCAAAGCATGAGTGCGATTCCTGGCAGTTCCGATTAAACTAATCCCTTCCTCCTAATACTAACCCCCCCCCCCTTAATACAAAACACGGCAGGTAGTTTTTAGTATTAGGGGGGTATTTATTATTAGGGAACCAAATCGAAGTCATGCTAATTAATTAATTACATTTCCTTATATAACGCAATTAAAATATTGCCAAAAATGGCAGTTCGAAGCTTACCCCTAATACTAAATTAAAACCCTTAATACTAAAAACTATTTTTTCCGATCTCCAAATCAATTAAATTTCCTTATATAACGCAATTAAAATATTGCCAAAAATGGCAGTTCGAAGCTTACCCCTAATACTAAATTAAAACCCTTAATACTAAAAACTATTTTTTCCGATCTCCAAATCAATTAAATTTCCTTATATAACGCAATTAAAATATTGCCAAAAATGGCAGTTCGAAGCTTACCCCTAATACTAAATTAAAACCCTTAATACTAAAAACTATTTTTTCCGATCTCAAAATCAATTAAATTTCTTTATATAACGCAATTAAAATATTGCCAAAAATGGCAGTTAGAAGCTTACCCCTAATACTAAATTAAAACCCTTAATACTAAAAACTATTTTTTCCGATCTCAAAATCAATTAAATTTCCTTATATAACGCAATTAAAATATTGCCAAAAATGGCAGTTAGAAGCTTACCCCTAATTGCTAGAGTAGCTAGGCAGCTTGGAGTGAGGGATTGGGACTAGGCCCCCCTAATACTAAACACCCCGGGGTGAACTAGTTTTTAGTATTAGGGGGGAGAACCCACAAATGGTAGGTTGATTTTTAAATTGTTTTTTAAAGGGGATCAATTAAAAGTCAAATTGGCCAAACTGAAATTTTCGGAAATTGGAGATGGATGCCTGTTTTTAGTATTAGGGGGACGTTTAGTATTAGGAGGAAGGGATTAGAAACATATTTAGATAGCTTTGTGGTTAAGGAAATTCACATGACATTGTCAAGCAAACCAGACGATAAAGATAGAACTCAACTCATTATCACGATCAATGGACAGCTAGATGATATATAATATTCGCAAAGAATTGCGCTATATTTCTTCAACCGGCCCAATTAAAAACTATCTCATTGATCTATAAAAACGACCTATATTGATAGTTCTGGTTTAGGGATGCTTTTGATTTTAAAAGAGCACGCTGAAAGCTTGGGTGGAGTCGTCTTATTATTGGCCAAACCGAAACCAGATGTCAAAAAATTATTAGCTGTGCCTAATTTTAAACAACTTTTTACCATCATCCATTACCATTTTATCCCCAATACAAGAATGCCTAAAGCATAGATGCGGCTGTTCGTTAGAATAAGTTTTGTATTGTTCTTTGTTGTCTTCAGCAACGCTTGTGGACAAAATTGTCCACTTTATTTACCAGAATGGATTATGGCATTATTTGTGATGTGCCCCAAGAGCAAGTTGCCAGCTTCCGTCTTTTGATTTCTCTGGGGCGAGGGTGGCATACTGGACACTGTACAACGCCGAAAAAACCCAGTGGCAGAGATCTGCTGCAGATGATGAACAGCCAGCCTCTCAAGATACATCGCTTTTTAAGCTGAGAATTCAGCCTTGATGGTAGCTGGTTTCCTACATTTTTCAACAATTGGCTGCATGAGAAGCAGGTCGATCATCGAACAAACCATGAGCCACCAGGGTGATTTTCACTCTACATGGCGAGCTGTGACCACTTGGGAAGTCACAGATGTGGCACATCTGACATGCAGCTGGCGTTTTTGCCGCCCCAGAGGTGAATCTTAGAGCTTGTCAAGGTAATCAGCGAGTAGTGGCATCTGAAGCTTCAAGTTCTTGCGCTTGCGGATGCTGAGCACCAACTCTTCCATCTTGCCTTAGCAGCGGAGCACTGCTTCCTGGTCTTTTCACCCATTGGTCCAATGGTATTTTCCCAAAAACATCTTCAGCAACTGGCGTAATCACATGGACGTAAACCATCTTAGCTACATGGCTGTGCGGTCAAAAACCTGGTGCCCCAGAAGTCCATGGAAATCCAATAAGTGGAATAGTAACTCACACAACTTTAGGGTGGTGATTGATCTTATTCGTCTACAATAATTTGAATCATCACCTATAACTCGAAAAAGATGCATATGCACATTATGATGAAAATAATACCAGTATTGCTGTTTTCATGAGGTAATGTTAGTTCTATAATATAGTTCTTAGTTAAAATATCGTAACCATGATGAATTTCCCGCAATTACTACGGCTATCATTTATTCTTATATATTTTCATGAAAAAAATCATGACTCATTTCCATTTTATCGCTAAACCAGTAGTACTGCACAAGGCGGTGGCGGAAATTTCAAAGATAGGACACTATAGGGTGAGTTGTTGTGATGCATGGATGGCAGAGCGAACCCACTGATGGACCGAAAGGTGGTTGGAGTTGTGTTTTTTGGAATGGTTGCAATGGTTGCAGTGGTCACCTCCCCCACAACTGCTGGATGTAGTGTGGCGTAGTGCAGCTGTTAGCTGTAGTTGTAGTGTAGTGGTGTAGTGTAATGTAGTTGTAGTTGTGGCCTGGTGTAATGAGTGTAGTGCAATGTAATGTAGTGTAGTGAAGTGTAGTGTGCTGTAGTGTTGAGTGCTGTAGTGTAGTCTAGCCTAGTCTAGTTTAGTGTGGTGTAGTGGGGTGTAGTGTAGTGTAATGTAGTGTAGTTGTACTTGTAGTTGTCGTTGTCGTTGTAGCTGTAGGTAGTGTAGTGTAGTGTAATGTAGTGTAGTAATAGTGTAGTATTGTGTAGTATAGTGTAGTGTGGTGTAATGTAATTAGTGTAGTATAATGAAATTAGTGTAGTGTAGTGTAGTAGCTGTAGTTGTAGTTGTAGTTGTAGTGTAATTGAATGTAGTGTAGTGAAGTGAAATGGACTGTAGCGTAGTGTAATTAGTGTAGTGTAGTGTAGCGTAATGCAGTTGTAGTTGTAGTTGTGGTGTGGTGTAATGAGTGTAGTGCAATGTGATGTAGTGTAGTGGCAGTGTAGTGTGCTGTAGTGTTGCGTGCTGTAGTGTCGTCTAGTCTAGTCTAGTGTAGTGTACTGTAGTGTGGTGTAGTGTAGTGTGGTGTAGTGGAGTGGAGTGTAGTGTAGTGTGGAGTGGAGTATAGTGGTGGTTGTAATTAAAACTGCTACCAAAGCCCCCACGTCTGGCTCACTATTGACAACATGCAGAATCCCTTGCGCCTGCAATGCAAAACGATATCTGAACGTCCAACTGTGCTCCGAACCCGTCAGTTTTTTACACTTTTGACTTCGACATGACTTCGCGCCACAATGGCTTGCACTTTTTCGGCATGTCAACTTCCAAAAGTGGTCCGATGTTGGTGTGTTTTGTGCATTTTGACTTGGAAACGTGCTTCGCGCTGCAACGGCGTCCACTTTTTCATTCTTATCTCAACTTCCAAAAGCGGTCTGAGACCGTCAGTTTTTTACACGTTTGACTTGGAAATGTGCTTCGCGCCACAACGGCGTGCACTTTTTCGACATCTCAACTGCCAAAAGTGGTCCGAACGTGGTGTGTTTTGTACATTTTGACTTGGAAACGTGCTTCCCGCCACAACTGCGTGCATTTGTTCATCTCTCATCTGGCCAGATGCCTCCGCACCCGCCGCTTTAGCGAGGCTACTTCTGACCCTCCGGAGCCACAAATCATTGGAAAAACACAGTGAATTGCGACTGTCCTACCTTTTCGCGCACCTGCGTCTTCTTTCTTCTCACTCTTTCTCTTCCCTGATCTCTCTCTTCTTCTCCTCTTCTCTGACTGTTCCCACCTCTGCTTTTCCATCTGTCCATATTGTCGGAAGTTTGACTTCTAAACTTCCTTCGATAAGTTATATAATGTTATATACCCCTATCATCACCTATCTAATCATTCCTTTCCGCAAAAAACGCCGGAAGGGGCCAAGTGGCTTCCCTTCTCGAGACAGTTGCCAGGCAGACTCTCCCAGTGATCGAAGACGCACTGCGGGAAGGCCTGTCCGCTGGTGGCCTGTCGCAGCGAGCCTACGAAGCCGAAGGACTCGGAGACCGGCAGGTGCGCCTTCACCTGGAGTCCCGGTAGGTCCGGTAGGTGGCTTTACAACAAACAAATGGGAGGAAGTACCAAGTAGATCCAAGTAGTTCAACAAGGCTCGAGGTTATCAAGAATCCTGTTTTGAACCAAGAGCTGGGAGATTGCATTTTGAACCTCTCATGTGGGAATCGAAAAGAAGTCTTTTACTGCGGGCCTGCACCAGTGGTGTACCTTCACGTTGGTTCTCCTCAAAGACGCAGCCTGCAAGGCTCGGAATCACCCTTGATCAACATTCACCATGCGTTTCAGGTGTTTCCAAGGAATGCTGGGTGCTTCTCAAAGGACTAGTTGTCAGTTTCGTATTTTCTTGCAACAAGTCAATAGCGGCATATGATAGTAGATGTACAAGGTGGGGGTTTACAAACCAATCTAACTATATATAGTTATAACTTATAACTTCTATAAGCCCCAGTTAGCATAGTTACAAACACTTCACCATCTGCATGCCAATGACACTGCCGTTTGTTCGGGTTAACTCACTTACTCAAACGGATTGTGTACTTAGGTCTGGTCGCTTTGCAAAGCCTGCAAGCAGTTGAAACTCAACTAAATCATGTATATCATGTATGTACATGATACATACATATACAGACATATATATATGATTGTGTATTTTCCGAGTTACTTCTGTGCATCATACAGTCATACATTAAAATGATTTACATTTCCTCGTATGGATGGGCAAAGGCTTTGTGTCAAAACATGTCCCTGGGAGCTACGCATTGCTACGCTACGCCTCTGCGGAGGTTCAAGCAGTTGTAGATGCCACTGAGGGAATCCTTCGGACAGGAGATCTCCACCTGAGACCCGGTGATCACACCCGATTCATCCCGATTCATGATCATTTCAATCATTTCCTACTGAAATTTAGCAAAATTCAAAATAAAAGTGATCTAAATCGAATTACTATAGTGCTATACTCAATTTCGCCCAGAATCTCCAACAAATTTTCAAAACATGGGATCTTCCCAAACTATCCCAATCCCATGATAAAAGATGGCCATGGTCCCGCCATGCGACCAGGAAGACCGGCTCTTGCAACGTTGGCTTGGCCGTGAGCTCGGATGCGAAGCAGGCGCGACGGGTCGCCGGCATGATCTGACCACCTCCCAGGCGAAATGATGAACATATTAGGGGGATGGGATATGATGGGATTCATCTTGTGGATTGTCTCAGTGATTATAGTGATGGGCGTTTCTGTTGGCCTATTTCATCCTATTTCCATGAGTATCTGGAACAACTATACTGACGCCTTTCCACAGGATTCATAAACGTATTGTAGCATTCAAGTTTTCCAGTTTTGCTAGGGGTCAAACCGGGGGAGCCTCCGAATATCATCATCAAACTCATCATTTGTGGAGGTGGGTCAAATTTTAAGACTCAGAGAGCCGCAGAATTTATATGGTCTATGTTTAGTTTTAATATGTTTTAATCATCCATTTTTGGAGGTACCAACTTTTGATCCATACATAATAATTGCCCATACGAAATGTCTAAGGAAGCCCCATGGGCCCATGAGCCTCCTCGATGGACCTTGTCTGGATGCAGCATCACCTGAGTGTCTTGGTTGGATGAGCACAGTGGCTAAGAGTTGGGTAAAATGTGATGGCTCACTTGTGTGACTTGCTACTGGTGATGACCCTGATCTTTGTGAACCAATCCAATTGGTGACTAGTCCAAGATGAGGATCAATGTGCCTATGCCTATGCCGCAGGCCGCCCAAAAATCAGGACCACGAACATATACACAACTTTAAAATACTTTAAAACCTGAGTTCATAGATGTTCATAGCGGGTTTTCTCTCTCCCACTTATGACCATTTTTTACAAGAAGCATGCCAACGTGGGTTTGACTGACTCCAAGCCACTTCAGTCAGATTGAAGCGGATACCGCGCATGTTCTCCTGGCCGAGTCGTCTGGGACATCCGATGTGTGATTGTCCGCAAGAATGATGCTTTGCTTGTGACGCCACATGACACCACGTTTAAACGTGCATCACACAATCACATGGAACAAGTCAAACTCGCATCGAAATCACAAGATCAGAAGCATCACAATCAGCTTCACTGCCATCATCTTCTGACGTCAATACATGCAGATCAAGGATGGATCTTCAACCCTATTTCATCATCTCTTCTTTACCCTCCCTTTTCGTCCCCCTTTTCGTACCGTACCCTGTGAGGTCCTCGCAGAGTGGACCTTCCTTGGTGGCCCATTGGAAGGCGCTGGTCACCGAATCCTTGATGTCTGCCAAGTACTGTGCACCAATGGTGGTATCCACCACCATGTTGGCACCGTCGCATTCTGGACCAAAGCACCAGATCTTGCTTTGAGCCACCTGGGCAATCGATGGCAATCGGCTGGGATCTTACTACGCTCAATTATATAAAGGTATGGCCATGATGGCATCTAGGAAGCCTACAATGAAGTGGTTTGTCATATTGTAACACCCAACCCCAGATTTTGCCCGTCAAAATGGATATACTATACCATAGTAAACCAATTTTCCGGACAAAGCGAGATTGACTGAGGTCAACTCAGTCATGTATCTGCCCTTCAAGGCACCTGTTTGTCCCATCCAAATTTGCTGGTCAGAAGTTTGGCGGCTTCTTTGCAGTCAGCCTTAGGACCCACTTGTCCTTGCTCAATGGCCTGAACCAGCTCTCCATCCAGCGGTTCAGCCTTCAAGTAGAGACGGTTGTGCTTGTTTGCCGACTTCGCCAGACCTGAAGCACTGGAGATCAGATGCTGGGGATATCCCGAGGAGATCTGGGGGACATCCCATGAATCTGTGCTTTGTGATGGATATGATGGCTGATCTGGCTGAAAATCATTAGCTAAATATCTATGGATGCTTTATGGATGATATAATGGGTTTGTCCGAAAAGATGGTTCCTTTAAAGTTCCTACAGAAATCACAGGAACATCACACAGAAATTTAAACAGCTTCAGTACAGCAATAGCAAACTATCCACCATTTCAGCATGGGTGGTATAAACCATCAACATATGGGTGGTTTATTGCTTTACGAACATCACAGTCCATTATTATGCATATTACACATTATCATTATTAATCACTATTATCCATGATTAACCCATCATCAACAATTTCTGTCCATTGTCAATCATTGTCATCCATTATTAGCCCACTATTAACACATATTAACACATATTAACACCTTCTGACTTTCACTTTGTCGCCGGTTTCCGACTCGCTGGGGCACAAGTCTGGTTGGATTCCTCGGTGACGGTCTCGCGGTAGGAGACCACAGGATCTGACACCGTGAAGTCGCATTGGGCGAATTCCTCTGACAAAACTAGAGATTCCCAGGCATAATGGTGATGTCCAATAATAACATGGCTGGTAAATGATGTAAAATGATGTAAATGGTTGGAACATCCCATTTGAATGGGGCGTTCATGCGATTGGAATTCCAACCCATGACGAATCCCTAATAATTATATATTTAGATAATATATAGATTAAGGGTACAGTAGTGTAAGCATCAACTAAGTGGGGTTCTTGAAACTGATCCTGTTACATTGCCGAATAAGCTTTGCTCCGTCTGATCAAGGTTTAAAGGACTATCATACAGTCATACAGTAATCAGGAGATTTGCAAATAAGCACGACAAATGGATAAATTCCACAGGTGCGTCAGATTGATGATGATGATGATGATGATTATGGTGAGGAAGAATAATGCGGGTTGCATGGGCTACGTAGGGATTCAAAAACAGAAGCAAAATCACCTAAACTGCAACAACATCATAGCACTCATCCCAGCTTACCATCGAAAAGTAGAACATATTCGAAAGCTTTGAAACCACCAGCCACCTATAGTTATCCCCATCTCATGGTCGTTCAATCATATCAAGTCATATCAAGTCCATCTTTTCATGGTATCTAAAGAGATCCAAACGGAGGTTTCCTAAAATGGGGGTACCCCAAAATGGATGGTTTATGGACGTTAATGGACAATCCTATCAAAATTGATGAAATGGGGGTACCCTTAACCCGCCATGATGGTCGGCTTCCATCATCTCCCAGTCCTCCCTCAGGTCTTTCAAGCAGATCTCCACGTGCAATTCCCCGCAGCCCGCAATGACGTGCTCGCCGCTCTCTTCGGTGCTGCAAACCACCAACTGGTCGGATTTCGAGAGCCGCTTCAAGCCTTCCACCAATTTGGGGAGGTCCTTACCATCCTGGAGAAACTGGGGATCATTTTGCCAAACTGGAGCTGGGAAGGTTTTTTTTGTGTTTTTTAATTTTTTTTCGGGGGGGTTGATAGGATGTGAGCTGATACGGGTATACTTATTGATAGATGTTGATAGTTGAATTATAGGTTGTTATAGACTATTATAGTTGATATTCCCAAACATAGATAAAGTAGGAACATCGGGAATTTTCGGCCGCCGTGTTTGATGATGTTTGGTCCCCGTCGGTCCCCGTCGGTCCTTGGGCTTCACTGCCACCTTCACCACAGGCGACACACTGTACTTCATGTCAGTGAAGTTGTGGGCATCTTCCAAAGTGGTGATGGTCCCAGACTTCCTCAGAGATCTGGAAGTGGCTGTGAAAAGAGGGCATTGAACTACTAACCGTTACTAACCCCAAAATTTTAATGTTGATTGGAAAAGTGGTGATCAACCACTGACTGGATGTGATGATCAATCAACTCTACCAAGACCAGTTATGGGTCATCTCCGTTTTCTTACTTTTCGATGGTAATGAGGGTGTCAGTGAAAACCTGAAATCGGTCAATGAGGACAGCTCTAAGAGTCAGTACATACCATTGGATGATTCCATGCATGGAGCTTGAGACTATACCTGCAGCTGGCATTGTAGCCAAAGCTAGCCACCGTAGCCCAAATTGTTTGCCACATGAATCCATGAATCCAAACTCTTGAATGTCAAGTCCATTGATACCAGTACAGTTGCAATGGAACTTACCTCGACAGAAACCAATTGCTCTTCTCTGCTTCTCCGGTATGCTCCCTCGTGTTTTTGGCGTCACACCTCTTTCCAGCAGAATCAATTCATTCAGTCTTCACCCGCTATTTCTGTGTCCCTGACTTATGCTGCAACGCGCGGCAACATAATCAGATCCTCAAATACATGAGGCCCCATCATACAGTACATTATAACAATACATATTATATATATGTATATATATATATATCATATTATAACTATATATACAACACATTACAACAATACTTACTGAAACATCCATCACATCTATTTCTGTATCCTGTTGTATACTCCCTCCTTGTTTCAACGCACAACCAATATACGGCGAGCCGCAGGATGTATTGGTCCACACCCACCAAGGCCACAGTGTTGCCGCATGGGACGTACTGGAATGTCTTGGTTTTACTGAACATATTTGAAAATATGGCTACATTGCTACATAATTATTTCTACCCCCCAATTTCATGATGGATGTTCATGGTTCATCATGTTCCCATGAATCTTCATATCTTCCCCATTGAACGATGGTCATCTCCCATGACCCATGGACCAGTTCGCCCATCTCGTGCCTGGATGAGTTCGGTGCCGCGTCCCATCATCAGCACGGTGCGCTGGATGGCGCGCACGTGCAGGTCGTCTCGACTGCCCGGGCGATAGTGGGGCCCTTGGATGCGCACCTTTTGACCAGTGGCCACCGTGCCTGAGAAGACGCCTGGGTTCATGGCGATCATCCGCCATGTCTGAAAATAGGGGAAGTCCCGCACACAAACTCCGTCCTAGCCGGACACTTGGATGTGCATTGCAGTAAGTGGTTAATAAGCCTGTTGATAAGTCTCCAAATCTGATTATCCCCCGGTTTGTGTCATAAATCATCAGAAAAAATCACAAATCTATGAATTGAGTTGTAATGATTCGTCATAAATCATCATAAATCATCATAAATCTATGTAATGAATACGTCCTTTTCCTTCATGAGAACCAACCAATCCCCCTTTGCCCAAGCTTCGGCCGAAGGCATAGAAGCGGCTCCTTGGGCTGTATCACCCACTGGGGTTTTACTTTACAATAAGATACGTAACTGATCGTAATTGACACTATAAATGACAAATGACCAATATTATATATATACATGACATTATATGACTATATGATATAATATCATACTGTAATTTATAAAGTGGTATAGCGGCTAATAGCGGTCAAATATTTTTGGGATGGTTACCTATCATCTTCATTCATCTTTGTCATTTCATATAATTCGATAAAGGGTGAAGCCACCATTCAGCTGGGCCGAGTCACGCACTGTGGATGGTTTGCGAAATCCTGCACCTATTGGTTTCATAGATTCATACTTAATAAATCGGAGTTGGTATTTGGGGAGGACTGTTGGGTCAAGATTTTGTCTGTAAAGTAGCTCTGCCCAACCCCAATCATTACATTTTCCATGCACAGGCCAAAAAAAAATCACTACAAAAGTGCAACCCCAGCCTGGATAAAGGGTTACTACAAAAACCAAAGAATCTAACAAGAGACCCTTCAAGATACCCTTAAAAAACCCCGTAGATGTTTGTAGTGATTTTTAAGTAGATCCCACTCAAGTCTTCAAGATCAATCCAAAAAATGACAAAGTAGTTTGTAGTGGTTTTTTGGTATACACTACAAAAAAAGTGAACAGAACTGTCTTTTGAAAGTAAGAAATTAAATGACAAATGCAGGCGCCAGAAAACCTTGTCGTGTGTGGTCTTGTGATGATCGATGACAGTAGGTGGTTGCCATGGGGGAGGGACAAAGATTTCTTGAAGTGGATTTTGTAGCGTTGGAACGCTGCAACTTGATTTTGTAGTGGACCTCTTTGGGCTTTGAGCATGCAGCGGCCAGTGTAATTGAAGGGTATGTTTGTGCGGTATTGGTTGACTTTGCAGTGAAAAGCAGAGTGACAGATTGGGAGCATCAATCGAAATGGATTGTCCAATCCTGGGTTTGTGTGTGTGTTGTGCATGTTTTTCTCAGCAGTGATTTCACCCGAGCACTGAGAAAATGTCTTTTCTACAAACTGCAACGGCCCGCTATGATTTACATTGAAAACTACTCTGGGGAAATATTTGTATTGAACGTGGAACCCTACAAATTTACTAGAAAGTACTTTTAGGGCAAATCTGAGTGAACTCAGATATCCATTTTGGGTCGACTATTATCTCACATACTTAACCACTAATAAATTCTATGACCAGCCCATGTTTGAATCTAGAAACATATGTGACCTAGGGTTACTACAAAATGCAAGGACACATGGTCCTAGGGGGACTGTAAAAACCATTGAAAAATATATTTTACATAGGACCCAAGTCCACTACTTTTGTAGTGGAAATTCCAACCAGGATCTTAATAATGGAATCACTATTGGTAACAGTCGAATCCCATCCCGTTATAACCCCATGGTAGTACCATGATTTACAGTGTTGAATCATGTTACCATTAGTTACCAACAAAAAGGAAACGCATCACCACTTCTCAAAACTACTGGATTCCCACTCAACCCAACTTGAGCATGTGTTGCAGTCCATCAAGGTACTTGTCTGCAGCTGGCACCATCTTCGACACATACATCATCAATGGGCCACTTGGGTCACAATTTCTGATGCCCATGGCTGCTTCATCATCCTCAGCGCTGCGAACTAACCCATGCAGCCATGCACCCCAACTGATGGGTTTTCTATGGTTTTCTGAAAAACACCAAGACGTTGTTCGAAAGAATCCAATTCTGCCAACCGGATCATCCCCCAGTCAGCATTTTTGCGGGCTCGCGTCCATAGGACCGTCATAGAGGTTCTCCACCCTGTAGCGCTGTGCCAACTTTGGCGGTGGCAACTTCATCACCTGAGCATGGGTCAAGATTCAGTCCGAGAACCATATATTATTTTGATATATTTTGAAGGTTACTTTCAATATGTATTTGTGTGTGTGTTTGGTAATTGTGCTATTGAGTATTTTTGACTTTCTATTGGCCATTGACCATCGCAAGTTTTGATCCAGGTCACCACCATGGCGACCAAGGATTCTCCGGCGTTGATCCAGTTCTGCATGACATGTTTCATGAGGGCTTTGCCTGTGAGGTTCTTGTCTTCACCTCGGCGGACAACCGGGCCGAAGTGAGGATGGACTTCAACTCCTCTGGAAAACGGAGATTGGGATGGGCTTGATCTTGGCAAAGAGAAAGTGCAATTCGGGTTCAGTATGTCTAGAATCTTTGACTGATGCCGAGTTTTTCCTTAATTTAAGAGATATGTCAACATGGAAGAAGTATACTAACTCGTATAATTATTGTAGTCTACAAGCGACACGCATCCTATTTATAAGGTTTTATAAGAAGCACTGAAGGACTCTAGAAGTGACTCTAGATCACCAACGCCTTTGGTGTATGTACTGTATCAACCTTCATGATGCATATCATATGCAGCTATGCGTAGAAATTCAATCGCCCACAGAGAAAATCAACGTTTCTATTCTGGTTGGCTCTCAACATCCCCCACCTTTCAGGACGATGCCCACGCGTGCCATCATCTTCTCATACTTCTCAGAGTCCTTGTCCATGATGGCACGGATCAGCTGATTGATCGGGTTCATGACGTACCTTGGTTTCGGAGGGCGACCCTAAACACCCTAAACATTGCTTTCTTGGTGAACAACAAGGGGACTGGGAACAACAAACCAACGAATGGAAGTTCAACACTTTCAGCCAAGGGTTGCTCAATAATTTTCTCCACAACAACAAATCATGTCGTCATCCAATGCTCTCAACTGCAGCCAGCCACTGACAGAAGCCTCTCTGCAAAGGTTCTTCGCAATCCTCGGGTTGCTGCACATTCGTCCAGACCTTCTTCTTCGGATTGTAGAACCAATCGCCCCACAGCTTTTCCATCATTTTGGACTTTTCCTGGGATAAGTGAGTGATGCCATGGTGAAAGTGAAATGCCTTCGGAAGTTGGTTTGTTTCCGTTTCACCAGGGTTCTTGGCAATATCCATCCATTTTTACATATATCATGTATAGTAAATATATGTATATAATTAATTATATATATATATATACTATATACTTAATTATATGATATTATATATATAATATATGTGTATTGTATTTGATTATATGTTATAGTATATCATTTATGCTTTATGGACTTAGATGACTTGGGGTACCAACATGTACCAACTGCTCAAACAAAATCCAAGGTCCTGACGTTATTTTTTCCGAGACTCTCGGCACAAAATCATTGTCCTCAATGGCAAATTAGTATTGCCTAGCAGGGCCTAGCATATAATATTTCATTGATAGCAACATTAATAGCAACATTAATAGCAACAGATAGCAACAGATAGTAACAGATAGTAACAATATGTAACAATATGTAACCATCAATCATCATCTCTATCTTGGCACTTTTGCATACTTTTGCCACATCCAATGTCACCTTGGAGCCACAAATGGAGCCGGCCAAGGGGCCATGCCACTCTTTGCAGACAAGATCTTGGCAAAGGTCTCGATGCTGAAGCCCCAGCCATGAAGACCGCTGCCGAAGGCCACATTGCCCAGCTCTGGGCGTACCTGGAGGTCACCCATGGAGGAGTCGTTGTAGGTAGCCTGGAGTCGTTGGGGAAGTGTTGGGGACAACTGGGGACCAGGGTTTTGGCTAGATCCAATGGCTTTGGCTTCGAAAACCAGCCAACACAGCGGGAGCAAGTTGAAATGGACAGCTGGGTCATGTTGGGTCCATCATCACCAGGCCAAGTGACTATAATTACATTCACGTTCTCAATGGCATTTCGGAAGCGCAGGTACATGTCTTCCTTGGTAGGCTGATCCACTGGAAACATGTTGGGCCCGTCATTGGAGCATTCGTAGCTAACCATTGAACATATTCGATATGCGCCATGGCTCACTGGAATGCACCGAGTGCCATTTGTCCTCAAACATTGATGTCTCATGATGTCTCAACAACTGGCCAAATGGCTACCACAGCTGATGCCAGGCGACAGCCTCCATTTGCATCTCAAGGATACAGCGGTCCACTTTGTTGACCTCGTCCCGAAGACCCACTGCAACTGTCAAGACTTGAACTCACAAATCAATGGCAGTTCAACTATTAACCACTATTAACCATCATTAACCACTATTAACTATCACAACTGATTGGTGGTCGAAGTTTTTGGTGAATTGAACCCAGAAACATCCAGTTGGGATCATCGAAGATGTGTTGGATGGATTTTGAGCTATCCAAAACCGCCTAACTAACCGACCAGCAACATTTTAGCACCACCATTGGTGAATCAGCAATCTTCATGGAACCCATTAAAACTAGCTGGTTCAATGATTTCAATGTTCAATCCCCCATTTAAGTGGACTATCAGATATGTATGTAATGTATGTATTCAATATCCCATCACAATGATGCTTGGTTTTGTAACCTCAGGTAATCAACACGCGGCAATGGGAAATCCCCTCTAAATGGAAGGTTTTCAAGCCAGGATCCATTTCAATGCCGAAACAAAAACATTATATACATTTAAATCATATACAAAACTACCAGCAACATGTTCTTGATTCAATGGCTATGTTGCATGATTATATCTGGCATATTAAATATATATATATATATATATTTATGGATAGATTATAACATACCACGACCATTTTTGCAGATCCTATCTTTAGAATACTATATATATACATATATCATAATACTTATTATGTATAGATACCACACACACATAAGACTTATGTTAGATACTGATGATATATGGGAGAACTAACAAACCATACCACCATGTTCCCCATCTATATCCCAGCTGCGAAGAGGCATGGCTTCACCCGTTCCTGCAAGGCTTGCCGCAGCACCGTCTCCGTCTGCACGGCGCAGCCCTCGATGCAGTCCACCACCACGATGGCGCCGTCGGTGATGCGCAGGGCGGCCGTCACCTGGGGTCTGAAAACCGGGTGCCAAACGGGGGGCCAAAATGGTGATGTCTAACCAGGGTAAATTGGGATGTTTTGTTTGTGGAATTGCTGCATATTTAGATGTTTTGGTAGATGTTTATCTGTTCGAATTGGATTGAATTGGCCTGATTTCTTGCATGTTTAAATATCGGCATACATTGACTAGATTGAAATTACACTGGAAAGCGTGGAAGGCCACTAGAAGGAAATGGCATTCCTTTGACAGTTTAAACTGTTCCAAAAAATGTGTTCTTGTTGAACATGGATATCAACATATACTTACACATTTACACATCTCAGTTTATATGTAAAACATCATATAACCCATGTACAATCTATACATATCCTAAAATGCAATATGTTTTACATTGTTTTGTATATATATATAATATATGATATATATATATAATATATAATATATATAATATATATAATATATATAATATATATAATATATATAATATATATAATATATATAATATATATAATATATATAAATAATCCCTTCCTCCTAATACTAAACGTCCCCCTAATACTAAAAACAGGCATCCATCTCCAATTTCCGAAAATTTCAGTTTGGCCAATTTGACTTTTAATTGATCCCCTTTAAAAAACAATTCAAAAATCAACCTACCATTTGTGGGTTCTCCCCCCTAATACTAAAAACTAATTCATCCCGGGGTGTTTAGTATTAGGGGGGCTAGTTTTTAGTATTAAGGGTTTTAATTTAGTATTAGGGGTAAGCTTCGAACTGCCATTTTTGGCAATATTTTAATTGCGTTATATAAGGAAATTTAATTGATTTTGAGATCGGAAAAAATAGTTTTTAGTATTAAGGGTTTTAATTTAGTATTAGGGGTAAGCTTCGAACTGCCATTTTTGGCAATATTTTAATTGCGTTATATAAGGAAATTTAATTGATTTTGAGATCGGAAAAAATAGTTTTTAGTATTAAGGGTTTTAATTTAGTATTAGGGGTAAGCTTCGAACTGCCATTTTTGGCAATATTTTAATTGCGTTATATAAGGAAAAATTAATTAATTAATTAATTAACATGACTTCGATTTGGTTCCCTAATAATAAATACCCCCCTAATACTAAAAACTACCTGCCGTGTTTTGTATTAGGGGGGGGGTTTAGTATTAGGAGGAAGGGATTAATACATATATATAATATAATATAATATATTATAATATAATATAATATAATATAATATAAATATATATATATTTGGGGGGTTACAAGGTCTCGGTTCGAGCAGGCACAGGGCCGTCACCCCAACCGCTCGACCGTAACCTAAGCGGGTTTTTAGCCATTGGCGGCCCGCGGGCGATTTGGTGATCATCGCCTTCTGATCTTGGTGCCTTCGTCGCGTTAACTGGTTCGCCCTGCGCGCATTGCATCTCGATCTGCTGTCCCAGCAGCGTTACCAAACCTGGGTACATCGGATTTGTCAACACCCTTAACCTTGTCCTAGCGCTCGGGCTTATCAATTTGCATTTTCTCAACTGGTTTTGCCCTGGAACTTGCACTTTGACCCCACCTTGGACATTTTTGTGTTTGACATTTTCCTTGAATTTGCCTTCCCGGTCGGGCTTGCACTGCATTGGCACTGCTCCCCATTCCGGACGTGGCCCTGGTTTTTGTGTATGTGCAGGTGCACTAGGTTCTTCAAGGTCTTTACTTGGTTCTTGGGCTTCGAGCTTGTGAAACCGGCATCCTTTGGCGCGGGACTATTTGGCCCTGACCTTTGTCATCATTTGGCCTTCAACGAGGAGAGCACTCAGAAGGAAGCGTGCAACAGCACGCTTTCGTTGGCATCTTCATCGATTGGGGATCAAAACATTGTCGGCAGCCCAATTAGCCTCTATTCGCAGTACCCTGGCATCACATCACAGCAAGGATCCCAAGCTCCTTCGACGCATCAGAGCCGAAATGTCGAGTCGGAATCCAGACAATGCAGGCTGGATGTGCGGCAACTGCAAGAAACTCAGGGCCAAGACCGCCTGGTTTTGCGATCTCTGCGGCTCGGCTTGGGAGGACTGCATCATCTACCCGAAGTCGAAAGCGCAGCAGTCAAGATCGTCTTCAAGGAGGTCATATTGGACCGCACCAGATCTTCAACCCTGGGGAGATCAACACGGAGAAAAAAGCCCGAGGCAGCAGCCCAAGAAAAACAGAAGCAGAGGCAAAGGCAAGGGCAAGGGACGCAACGCTCCCCAGCAGACACCACTTGCACCACCTCCTCCACCGCCGCTTTCTGGCCCGGAAGGGCAACAGCAGCCGCCATGGATGAGCATGCCTCTACCTCCTGGAGCATCAACATCTTCAACGACCACATTGTCGCCAGCAGAATTGAAACTGAGGGAGGTTTCCAACCTGCTAAAAAAGGTCAATCCGGAAACGCTCACGCCGGAGCTACAGCAGTTTGTTGTAGACGAAACCAAAGCTGCCAGCAAGAAGGATGCCAAGACCCTCTACTCAGCTGTGGGCGCTTTGACAAAGGCAAGAGAGGAGCTCGACACGGCGATCCTGGCCAAGAGCAACCTGATGGCGCAATGGAGAGCATTCCTCACCATGTCCCTGGAGCGGTTTCGCCAATACACAGACCACTTCCAGAATCAGGAGCAAGCGCATCAGGAAAACATCAAGCTGGCCAAGGAAAGACTGCGCAAGGCAAAGGAGGATTTCAGCTCCAAAGAAGAAGCAGCAACCGTGATCTCCGACGACGAGGTGGAGTCCAAAGCCACAACCACCAAAGAATCAGCTGCCCAGATTCTGAAAGGGCTGAGCCATATGACAGAGAGCCTCCAAAAGCTGTCAGAGCAAGCAGAAGAAGAGCAAGCAGAGGAAGAACGCAAAGCGAAACGTCCTCGACAGAAGGAAGGCGACCCTCAGGACGCCGCCATGCCTGCAGAAAGCTTGCCATCTATGCAGCCTTTTGGTGTGCCCGGTCACTGATGACTTTAGAGTACTTTGACCGATGGGCTGCTTGGCCTCCCACAGCAATTGCTGCTGAAGTGGCCGGTATGCAATGGTCCCACTCGATCCTGCAAGAGCCTTACTACAAGTCGCCTTGGCAGGCCAGTGAAGAAGCCTTGCACCTGGCATTCACTCTGCAGCCGGACAGCCTTATTAGGTACTGTGAGAAACGAGAATGGGGCTTCTCTGTACCTCACAAAAGATGCAAGAAGGGACTCACAGTCTCTTTCAATCCTCTTGCACACGTCCATTTTGGACCAGAATTCAGTTCCTCATGGACTACCTGCAGAGTTCCTACTGCTGGAGTCTCACAACGAGATTGGTTGCCGAAGAGCAGTACATTCTCGCAATCCCTTTGCAATGATTGTGACGAAATTCTTTCTTCACAACAGATTTTGGCACTGTCAAGTCCAAAGCCCATGGAATGCAGACCTGACTTGACTGAAAACCCAAACCTTCCTGACCCGCCTAGTTCCTCAGAAGGATCGGAAGGAAGAGGAAGACCCAGAAGAGTTCCCATCAGACATTTTCCTGCCTGGGTAGCAACATTATGGAACATTTTGCAAGATGAAGGGGCCACCGAGCTTCTCGAAGAAGGGCCGGTGATCTACCTCAGCACCTTTTATTTGAGTCATCGAAACTGCATTCGACAAGCAGCCAGCCGACCAATACGACTGACGAGAAGATATGAGGAGTGGATCGAGGAGTTCAAGCAGGTTTGGGGCGACCTATTTGATCATGACTCTGACTTCAGCCTCTTCCTCGTTCAGCCGGAACCGCCAATCTCCATCACAAGAGGTATTGTCGGGATCGTGCTCATTGTTCAACATGAACAACCTGGAGGATCTGCAGTTTTGACAACGGCACTTTTCGATGAACTCCCAACACCACGCACGCTTGAGATCGCCCATGTCATTGACACATGGACCGATTACACTACAGTACTACATCGTGCTGAAGCCTATGAAGCCTGCACTGAAGCCCAGCGTCAAGGCCTACGACCCTGTGTTCTACGTGCAGGCCGACATGTCTTCCCTCGAGAACGACCAGTGCGGGTGACCGATGGACTTGGAATAGTCATCAACGTGCCTTTGCTTCTCAATGACGAAGAATGGAACGCTTATGTTCGGCCACGTATTGAACAATGGCCTGAGTTTGCCCAACAACCACCCCCAGATGCAGAGAATGACAATGATCATGTGGCTTTCATGGCACGCCGCCCGCGTGCACGTGACCTCATGTCTTCTGGTTCTTCTCCCTCTACTGCAAGTACAGACACAAGCACAGCCAGCGCGCCCTCACACATTGATACTGCCGCATGGCGTCGCACAGTTGTCTTTACCCTTGATGGAACAACTATCTCATGCCTTTTACCCGAGGAACCAGGGCCAGAACAACTTCATCAAATTGGCCTTGCACTTCCCGGTTCACAGGGCGAAGTTGCCACAGCCCACATCGTTTCTGAGAAACCGGAAGCTCTTGTTGCAATGGACTTGGACTGTTTGCTGGTCACCAAGGCTCATCAGACGAGACCCAACCCATTCATGCGGCTGGCCCTCCTGGACTTAGAGATCTTTGAGGAAAACGACATCCTACCTGGAGCATTCCAACGTTCCGCAAAGTGGCTGCCCCATACCACAACCAGGCTATCACTGTTTCGCATCTTATGCCTCGAGAACATCTTTATGCTCCATGCAGACAAGACCAGTCTCTGGATTAACAATATCCTCATCGACTCAGCTGCAAATGACGCACTCACCATCGAAGATGGTGACTACATTAAGATCTTCATCGGCAACGAGGAGTACCGTTTCCAATGCACTGAGGACCATGACACCATGGCGCTCCTGCAGACAGCCATCACAAAGGCAATCTCAGCGATGCAGGACCATGGACATCAAGCAGTCAGCTATGCTGAACGCAAGACGCATACTCCCACCTCAGTCTGCCAAACGGATGATCGACCTGAAACAGTCTCCCTCAGCTTCACAGAAGAATTTTTGAGAGCTGTTGATGCATTGCGTACTGCGACAGACGCTATGCCGGAGTTCCCAGAAGATGACCCAGGCGACATCACAGCCTACGATCCGTGGGTGCAACGATTGCATGAGGCTTGGACTCGCTCCGCCACCATCGGGCCAGGAGGCATGGAACGCCTGGGCAGAGTGGAAACCTGGTTCACCGACCATGCGAATTTTCAAAGATGTCACCATACGAGAATCGCAGTTCTTGGACCAGACGCCCACCGCTGGGAAGAACAATTGCGTCACTTATGGCGTCAATATCTTCTCCTTGGAGCGCCACTTGAATTTCACATGGTCGAACCCACACCAGAGGACGCGTCAGGACAAATCATTGGCCAGCTGTTACTTGTCCAGCGACCTCATGTCTATCAACGCTCAGTTGTCATTTCAACTTACGACAACGAGTACGATCAGGTTGTTATGGGCACTCGCGTCGACCTCCACTCTGTTTGCACTATGATGCAGGCCCATGAAGATTGTCCTCCAGAAAACCCCGAGAACAGGTGCACTCTCTGGTCCGGACTGCGGCCCATGGAACCACTTGAACGAGTTTACGCCCGGCACGGTAGTCTTTTCAAGTTGGTCATCCAGCGTGCCTTACACGCCAATGTGGCTGCTGAATCTAGCACCAACTTGCGCGAAAGAATGAGAGCAATTGATGCTAGAGTGATCTCTGGCCACATGATCTCTGGCCACACACCACTTTGGCTCCAAGCACTACACCGTGTCTTTCAAGATCTAGCCGAAACAGAGCGCACTGACGAAGGTCCTGTCGCATATGTTGCCACCTGGTATCTCCATGCTTCTTATGCTCCGCGTTGTGAACCAGGACGCACTGTGCGCTTGCGTGATGATCCCTTGAATTGGCAACGCACTCTCAGTGAAGCTTGGGGCGATCGGTATGACTCCAGTAGACCAGCTGACCTTTTCTGGATCTCACCAGCCCCACCGTCCTCTTTGACAGATCATGTTTTGGGCCACATCTTGATTGTCCAAGCGCTGCCTGCACACTCAGTTGCAACACTGTTGACTGCCAGAGTACGTGACCAAGAAGGGCAAACCCTGCGTAGGGTAGCAGCATGTATCCCACAGGCCTCCTCCGCTGAGGACATCGTAGCGGCATTTCCCATTCCAGGTCCGTTGTTGAGATACCCCAGAAGAGTTGGACGTGGCCAAACCTTCTTTGATCCCAACACTCCAACGCAGGTTGCCTCTGGAGAAGGCCTTGTGATCGACATCATGGACACAACGCTCACGCCCCAATCGGCAACCAACACAGAAGGCATCAACCTTCTTCAAACACATGTGCAACGCACTCGACAGACAATTTACAGCTCTCCGCAAGACAAACATGCACTGGAAGAGCGAAGGTGCCTAACAGTTGGGCAGGTGGCTCATACCCAACGACCTTCCTCGCAGGATGCAAAACAGATCATTTGTCTTGAGGAGACCATCCCTGTCTTCCCGAAGATTCAGGTAGACTTCAAGTCAGTCCAACAGATCCTAGAGGCCATCCACGCGGCAGCCAATGAGTTCCTGCAGGCCTGGCCCAATGAACTGGAGCTACCACAGGTCACTCATGAAGCACTCTCTGGACTCATTTCGACTCCACATGAGGTTCCCCTCGCCCTTCATTTCTACACAGATGGATCGAAAATTCCTGAAGGAGCTGTAGGTGCAGGCATTGTTTTACTCACTGAGTCTCAGCAGGGTCTGTCATATGGAGGAGCCCTCTGCAAAGTGATCACACCAGAAGGACATGCAGGAGCAGGTGAAAATGGCGCAGTCATTTGGGCTCTTCTTTGGGCGCTTCAACTTAGCAACCATTTGTGGACGCAATATGGAGCCGCGGACATTCATTTCTACTTTCATTTCGATGCGTTGAATGCCGGCTACTTGGCGGGCGGCTACTATCGCACAAAACAATTTCCACACCATCGCACCTTGATGCGCAGTCTTGCCCACATTCTTCAGGGCAGGCACGGCCTTTCCAGAATGCACTGGAGACACGTCAAGGCACATGCAGGCAACCCATGGAACGAGCTCGCCGATACGATCGCCAAGTTTGCCTCGCAGCACCCTGATCAAGTTCCACTATAGTGAACTTTGGCATGCTTGGCTACAAGATCCTGCGCAGCTGCTTGCTGTCCAATGGGCTTGGTACCTGGAACAAATGCAAGCAGAGTGCCCGCATGTTCCCCAACTACGAAATGGCTTTCTTGAGTGCAATCTCACACAAGTACCCCAAGCTCCGCCAGAAGACCCTGCGCTCCAGACTTCGGATGCCCACCATGATTCCACGCTGGAGCTGATTCAGATTGACATCACGATTGCTACAGCCAACGTCCTGACGCTTCGCACTGAAGATTGTCCACAACAGGGCACCAGCATTTCGCGACAATTTGTCATCATGCAGCAATTCCATGATGCAGGTTGCATTTTCATCGGCATCCAAGAGACGAGGCACAAGCATCTTGTCGGAACAAACAATCCATGGTATCACGTCCTGGGCCACCCAGCGACGCCTCAAGGACAAGATGGAATACAACTTTGGATTTCATCCTGTATTCCTCTCAGTACCACCAACGCCCTCATCCGACGAGAGCACATCTGCATTGTTTATTCCAGCTCCACCACACTCATTGCCAAGGTCAACATTGGTTCCTGGAAATGTGTTGTTGTCACCAGCAGGGCGCCTCATTCAGGTCGACCACGACATGAAGCATTGTCCCATTGGAGCACTATCACTACGGCGCTACATCGCAAAGCGTCCGGATGGCCCATTTTCTTCTGTCGAGACGCCAATGCGCATGTTGGAGAGTGCCCCACTACAGCAATCGGTGACCTTGCCCCAGCCCATGAGAATCAGGCGGGCGAATTATTCCATCACTGGCTGATGACTCACAACTTGAAGTTGCCAGCCACTTTTGCGGAGTCACACTCTGGACTTGCTCATCATTCTTACTATTCACCTGATGGTAAGCATGGGACCAGGATCGACTATGTAGCAGTGCCACAGGAGACTCAGTACGACAAGCTGAACTCTTGGATTGCGGAAGACATTGATCTCAGTGTGCTCCGGACTGATCATCACGCTGTTCTATGTCACTGTTCTTTTGCCGTGCTTGCACCACCACAAAGACGCATGAGGAAGAAACCCGCATGGGATTCCCAACATCTTAGCCAACAGCTTTTGCAGGAAGATGCTTTGTACACACTGCATTCTGCTGTACCCTCAATACCTTGGTATGTGGATCCTCATGTCGCGGCTTCCCAACTTGCCCACTACACCACAGTAGCTTTGCAACAAGCTGCACGCCCTCGGAAGACCTGGAGGAGGAAGAGCCACATCTCCGACAACACCTGGATGCTTGTTGAACACAAGAAGTTTCACTTCAAGCATCTCAGGCAACTGACCCGCACCTGGCGGGTTACTACACTGCAAGCCTGCTTCCTTTCATGGAGAAACACAACATCGACAGGCACAAGTGTAACTTCGACAATTTGCCAAGATCTACAACGTGATCTACCCCGCTGGAAACAACTGCATGACATTGCCGTTGCCCAAACGACCAGGCAGTATCGCCAGGCAGCACAGCAAGCCAAGCAAGCGATACAAGAGGAAGATATGGCCTACTACCAGAATTTGGCCTGTCAGGCGAAACACACCTATTCGGTTGAAGGCCTAACAGGCGTCTGGAAGCACTTCCGCGCCATCCTTCCCAAGAACAAAGGCAAAAGACACATGATTCAGCATGATCTTGGACCTTCACTACTTCAACACTTTCAGACCCTGGAAGCAGGAGTCTCATTTGAATGCCAGCTGCTTCGACAACAATGCATCTTGCGCAACAACAAGGAGATAGAAGCACGTCCACTCTTGCAGCAGATTGATCTACAAGAGCTTCCTACTCTGGTTGAAATCGCAGATCATTGCTTGAAGCAACGCCCACACAAAGCTGCTGGCCCAGACGGAGTCCCCTCCTCCCTTTGCAGGACGGGCTCTGTCGCCATTGCCCCGCATCTTCACTCTTTGATCTGCAAGAGCTTCTTGCTGGGCATCGAGCCTTTTTCACACAAAGGTGGGCATCTTTGCGCCCTCTTCAAGCACAAAGGTAGTCGAGACGATGCAGCTGCCTATCGAGGCATTCTTCTGTCCGATTCCTTTGCCAAGATAGCACACGCATGGACCCGCCAAAAGCTGCTTCCGACCTTGCAAGCAAGACGCACAATCGGGCAGCTAGGAGGTTTACCTTCACAACAAACGTTGACAGGTATCCAAATCCTCCGGCTCCATGGCAGTGTCAGTCAAGCAGCACAGCTATCGACTTGCACGATCTTCTTGGATCTGAGATCTGCTTTTCATCATCTACTCAGGGAGTTGGTCTTTCTGACTTCGGACGGCCTGACCGAGCGAGACCTGGAGCAGATCTTCCATCAAGATGATTTTGATATTCCTGCCCTGGCCACAAAGATTGCAGAGCTCGCATCCACTCAACGAGATGACATCCCGCCTGGACTTCAGCGTTTCCTGCATGACATACACCATCAGACATGGTTTCAGTTGCGAGAGGCCTCTGATCTCCACTCAGGGAAGTGTACTCAAACACGTCGAGGCTCTAGGCCAGGGAGCCCTCTTGCCGACATAGCGTTCAACCTCTTGATGGCAGAACTTCTTCAAGATTTGCATGAGGCCCTACTGAACAATGAACACTATGTCGAAGGCAGCAATGCGCTCGGTGTCAGTGTGCCCCCTGTAGCATGGATGGATGATGTCGCCATTCCATTGACCTCCACTACACCTGAAGCTCTAGTGCCCCTTGCCCAACAAGTCACCGCGGTAGTTCACGGCCTATTCCGGGCCCGGGGACTTACGCTGAATTTGGACAAGGGGAAAACCGAAGCAGTACTTTGCTTCAGAGGACAGGGCTCAGATGCGCAGCGATTGAAGATTTTTGATACGGGGCGACAGCCAGTGATCGTGGTCGACACGGACAGCCACATTCTCACACGTATACGTGTCGTGCCGTCTTACAAACATTTGGGCGCTCAATACTCCATGAACATCGACGTTGGCCGTGAGATCCGTGCTCGGCTTGGCGCTGCACGCCAGGCCTTTGAGGAAATGAAAAAGCCGCTCTTTCTCAACAAACGACGTCCTGCTGCGGCGAGGATGCAGTTGTTTCAGAGCTTTATCCTTTCCAGGTTGCTCTACGGTTGTGCGGTTTGGACAGATGTTCCCAACGCCCTCCTAAAGAAGTTGGAGACAACGCTCATGGCCTACTACCGACAAATACACGATGTGGGCTTTTGGAATCAAGACCACATCACAGATGATACATTTCGTCGAGCTCAGCGACTACCAACTTTCAGACAGTTCTGGGCACGTCACAAGTTGACTTTCTTGCAGCATGTTGCGCAGTTTGGTGCAGTCTTTCATAAAAGCTTGCTTTTCCGTGAACTCTGCACAGGGCGAGGCTGGCTTTTTGAAATGCGAGACGACTTGGAATGGCTCGGCACTTTCCGTCAGCTCCCCTTTGAGCTGCCCCATGATCGATCCTCATGGGTCCTTGCTTGGGATGCCCTGCGTAGCTGCCACCCATGGAAGGGGTGGATTCGGAAAGCTTGTGCCAAGCATCTTATCCAAGAGCACATTGCCTGGGAAGTCAGCCACCAACACACTGTCATTTTGGATGGCCAGAACCGAAACCTTATGTCTGCCAGCAGTGCCACGCAGCCTTTGCGACTCATCATCAACGAGCTCTTCATGAATTTCGAGTTCACGAAGTACTCGCTGAGGAGCGCTACTACGTACAGTCTACTGTCTGCAGTGGATGCTTGAAGGACTTCCACACCACCTTCAGAGTGACGCAGCATTTGCGTTATCGACCGAACAAATGTTGGGACAGAATTCATGGGATCAAACAACCAGACGAACCAGTCACCATTCATTTGCCAGCTCATCTGCAAGGTGTCTGTCGACTACCTGCTGTGCGTCGACATCATGGACCCTTAAGGCCCACGTCACATCATCGTGAACGACAGCGAGTTCGACAAGCTCTCCGCCTGATTCAAGAAGAAGGGGCACCGGACTATGCATGGTGGGAGCCTGATTTGGCTGCTCCAATGGTCACTACATGCTTCGCCAGGTTTGGCGACTGTCTTCAACAATGGAAGCAGCATCCCACCGAGGAAGCATTTCACAATGACTTTTTCAATTTGCTCTTCAATATGAACATCCCGGAGTTTCAAGCGGCGCGGATTTTCATCGCCTGGATCAAGTCTGAGTTCCAAGACTTGCACTCAGCCTGCGACCCCGAGCTCTATGATCTCTTGGAATGTAGCCACATGTCCATGCTTGAGGACATCCATATCTGGCAGCTGCGTACGAGAAGGAAATTATTGATGAGCTGCTGGGAAAAACTTGAACAAGGTGAACCAAAGCCTTCTCGAACAGTGCAGCTGCAGCACACTCCTCATCAGCGTAATCATCAGGTCTCTTCAACATACAGGATGATGTCGTCTGACGAAGCTGGACGAAGACAATGGACTATCCTGCAGCCCCCGAAAGTTGTCAAGACGCCCGGAGCTGGCCCATACTATGTGGTGCATCTTTACTCCGGCAGGCGTCGAGACGAAGACTTTCACTATTTCATGCAGAAGTTCCTGGAGAAGGGACCTCAGCAGATCTCGCAATCAGTGCTTGTGATCTCCATTGACACGGCCATTGACGCATCCATGAACGTCCACGACGCACGCCTCTGGGCTTTCCTGCTTGAGGCGGCACGGAATGGGCAGATTCTTGCTCTCCTACTGGGCCCTCCGTGTGAAACATGGAGTGGCGCCAGATTTGAAGAGCAACTAGATGAGGAGGGCAAGCCCTTGAAGGGTCCTCGACCATTAAGGGGAGCGCCAGATTGTCCTTGGGGCCTGGAGCAACTTAGCCTCAAGGAGCTCCAGCAGATCCTGATCGGGAACGGCCTACTCTTGAAAGGACTACATCTTGGTGCTTGCGTGGCCTGCCAAGGAGGAGCCGTTGCACTTGAACATCCTGCACCGCCCTATCAAATCGAACGCCCATCGGTTTGGCGAACTGCAATCATCAAACTCCTTTGCAGCGCAGGAATGCCATTTCGGCAATATACATTTCAGCAATGGCGTCACGGCGCCCAAGGAGTTAAGCCAACCACGTTGCTCTACGCCCATGCAGCGATCCCCAGCATCTTCGCGGCAAATGAGCAACGCCATCTGGAGCGGCCGACCGTCCCACTTATTGGCAGAGCTGCCGATGGCAGCTTTAAAACTGCTGTGGCAAAAGAATACCCAGCAGGAATGAATTTTTGTTTCGCTGAGTCGTTTTGGCAGCACATTAAGGCCCGACTCACCAAGCACCCGATTCTGGAACCATTCCCAGAGTTTCCGGTGTATGTAAAGGAATTGGCAAAGATCTCGGCCTGCGTGGATCGCGACCGATCGATCATGCCTGATTATCAACCAATCTGACCCCAGGTTGGCTGATCGCATGACCGCCGCAGGCTAGACCTAAAAGGCCGAGAAAAAAATTGAAGAGTTACACATATATACACATAACAAGACCTCCGGAAATCCAAATTCAGCGCCTCGGAGGAGAAATCCACGTGGCCAGGGGAATCGATGAGATTCACCAGGTAGGGCTGCTGTCCATGGCCATCTCCCTGGTCGTGCTCCAAGCACAAGGTCACACCGGTACTCTTGATGGTGACGCCACGTTCCTGCTCATCCTGGATGAATGGAGGATTTAAATGGATTTAAGGTAAATCGTGGACCCTAGATTTGGTAAATGTGTAAAAATTAACTTCGGAAACTATACCGTTTGAATCATTTAATCCTGGTTAGTAAGTTCCAGCACTGGCTTATCCCATATATATATATATACATTATATATATAATTATCTGTACTTACTTTTCTCATCTTTTCTCCATGGCTCTACCCAAAAATCCCACCGAGCTCCCACCGGACTCCTTGCGCCCGTGGGTGAACTTGGTGTCCCCAGCCGCTTTCGTGGAGATGATGCCGGCGCGAGAGACCAAGGAATCCGCCAGGGTGGTCTTGCCATGATCCACGTGGGCGATGATGCTCAGAGAGCCTGAAGGAATCATGGGATTGAATTGGTATCATAGGGATAATGATAGGGATAAACCATGGGATTGAAGATGATTTAACACATATGATGGGATAATGATAGGGATATTTGTGGATACCTACATCATTTATTTACATCATATATCATATAATATCATATTATGGTAGTTACTACTGTATCCAAAAAAAACGACATGGCTTGCTGGAAAACCCACCGCTTGGTTCGATGATTTTCCCATTGAAAACTCCATTCATAGGGAATTGTCCACTGCCGCAGTAAATCCTGAGGTATAATGGGATTTAACACATAAAAATGGGATATAATAAGATAATGATAGGGGAATGCTGGGATATGTCACCAACTTGATGCTTTATATGTCTTTATACCATAAATGGCTGGTTTTTTCTAGGGGATATCGATGGAACATGAATGGGCTAATGCCGAATTTCAAGTATTTACCATGGGGATTTACCATGGATGTTTAAGCAACCATGATATGGGTACTTAACCATACTTAACCATCAAAAAGAGAAATTTGAGCATCAATGAATACTGGATTTTGCAGTAAAATCCCAGGTGTCATGCGATTTAACACATAATTATATATAATTATTGGATAATGAAAGGGATGTGATGGACCCCAGAATATCACCAACTTGATAGTTGGGTATGTCTGAGAATTCAGGGGATATCCCAAAATATTGCCATATGAATGGTAGGTATATATATATAATATGTATATATTGATGGAACATTAATGGGGTACGAATTGGGTATCAATGGGACATGAATGGGAGATATATCCAACAATCTAGTCGGATTTACCCCCAATTTATGGCCATCGGTGTGCCATTGATGGCTGGATAGGGAACAATGTGTTCAACCAGCAAATTTAAGCGGTTTTCCCTACATGTTCCGACAGGCTCATTTTGATTGGAGGGGAAACTTGGAATTAAGATGAAACCAGCCGTGTATGCAAATATATATATATTTATAATCTACCTATGCGATCCTCTATGAATCATGAAGAATGGGCTGGTGAATCTACCAACATGATCAAGCAACGATGATAAAAGGAAGCAAGAATATCAGGAATGACGGGGATGGGGTCAATGAAAATTGGAACGGGGTACGGGATATGAAACATTTTTGGGATTGGACCTACACCGCGAAACTGTCATCATTCAGTCGTGGCTCCCAAAGGGAAAGACTGTTTCTCAAGAAAGAACCAACCATCCGCAGACTTCCCTCTACAGCATTCTACATCTACAGCATACGACTTCATCACAAGAAATCATTCAGTCCCATGTATATATATATATTATATATAAATATATGCAGCAAATGCCTGGGTTTTGCCCGGAACCGCAACCATGACAGGCAACGCATCATCATCATCATGATCATCATCATGATCATCATCATCAGCATGATCATCATGATCATCATCATCACCATCATCACCATCATCATCATCATCAAACCCTTGTTAAACATCTTCAATGAATGTAAAGTTCAACGGGGGTGGGAGAATTAAACCCTTATCGAAGATCTTCAATAAATGTAGAAGTTTAACGGGGGGTGGGAGAATTCAACCCTCATTGAAGATGTTCAATGAATGTAGAAGTTTAATGGGGGGTGGGAGAATTCAACCCTCATTGAAGATCTTCAATGAATGTAGAAGTTTAACGGGGGTGGGAGAATTAAACCCTTATTGAAGATCTTCAATGAATGTAGAAGTTCAACGGGGGTGGGAGAATTAAACCCTTATTGAAGATCTTCAATGAATGTAAAGTTTAACGGTGGTGGGACTTTAATGTATTCCCAAATACCTTTGTTGATCTTCCCAACTGAATGCAAAGTTTAACGGGGGTGGAGTTTAATATTCCCTAGTACCTTTGTTGTTTTCCCAGAGGAATTTAAGGTTTAACAGGGGTGGGACTTTAATATTCCCTAGTACCTTTGTTGTTTCTCCCATGGGAATTTTGTGAAGTTGCATCAATATTTGTTTGGGAATGGGAAACCTCTACGCTGCAACGCCTGGGCAAAGCCCAGGCGTTGTGCGTGTATATGTATATATATATATAGGCCGATCATTCCCAACTTAGATCAACTTTGCCCAGCAAAACCGTGAGCAAAGGAACGGATCTTCTCAGTTTGGTCCATGATGCTCCTGACCTGTTCCAAGCTGAACTGCGGCATGGCCCAGGCGGCTTCCCCGGCGCGCGGCGCCGGCGAGGGGACGCGAAATCGAATGGACGAGCTCTTCTGTGCGGCGGTGCCAAGGCCAAGTTTCAATAGGAATCACCGGAAAAGGATGGAAAAGGTTGGTCATAAATGATGGGGATGCCTTTTCTGGTTGATGGTTCAGCCACCCCCATCCCTATCATCCCTTGACATTCCGAAAAAAAGTTGAAAGTCACGGTAATCACTCCATGTTGCGAGGAAAACATGGAACACACACCGATGTTTGAAATGCATTAGGTTTGTACCTATAAACCTCTGGATGTCCATCCCAAAGAGTATCGTTGAGAATCCATGATCAGCATCTTAGATTTTGAACAACTTAGGTTGTATACGGCACAAAGGAACCTCTTGGCATGTTGCTCTCCACATCTCTCCACAAAACGAGTCCGAGAAATGGTAATTTTGCTGTTGGAGTGCTCCAGTCCCATCTCTGATCCAAGTCCTTCAAAGTCTATCCTTACAACTCTATCAACTCTTACCTGGCGTACACAAAGACATACTCCCAATCAACATACCCTTATATCAAACAACTATTCCCATAACCGCTGCTGTCTCCCCTGTCCCTGAGTTGTCATGACCCGGCCTCTGGCCTTTGAGAGAGCGTCGAGACTGCAGCTTGGATGGCACGGTCCTGACCCGCCGGTATGATGTGAACTAAAGCAGCACCCTTGGTTATTGGCCAAATCTGGGAATGCCATAGGAATTTAATGGGATATACAATGATGTATATGATTGTATATGTATATACTGGGTGTACATATCACCAACAGTACAATGTTGAGGTCAAACAATTTCATGCAAACACAAAGCATCTCAATTCATCACGCGGCTAAGTGGCATATGCTTCAGCGCGTGGCACGTCGTTGATCATCTGAAAATGCCAACCTTAAGAAGAAAGCGGAGTAGGAGGAGCCAGAGCAAGAAATAATAATCATAGGAAGAAGGACGACGACGGCGACGACAACAACAACAACAGCAACCACAACAACCACAACAACCAAACAGTAGGGCTGGATTTTTCACAGGGACCCAACGCTGAAGGGCCGCCGCCCTCAAGCCCTGCAACGCAGCTTCCGCACGGTCGCCTGTCGACATGGATCACATGGCACCATGGAAAATCCATGGTGTTCCATTGCCTTCCTACATGCTATCTACTTGCAACAATCAGCCAATAGATGATATATATATAATATAAATACCACATGTCCATTTGGATGTTGCAACCTCGGTTTCAAAGTCGCTGTGTTTTTGCAAAGGCCTCAGATGCCATGCCAACATCTCTGACCTTTGCATCGTCGCTCACTCTGAGGTCGTGACTGCTGTGATTGCTTTGACGTGCCATGGCCTGCAGCTTTCAAGCCGAGAGTCAGTGCAATATGCTGGATAATATGTATACATATTCATATATATATATACACACACATAATATTGTATTACTGGATACGGACATCACCAATAATGGTTTGTAGTTGCATATCTAATTCTCAAAATATGTAATATGTAATATGTAATATCAAATTATAAAGTTGTACTTACTTAATTTTCATTCTATAGAGTATAGTTGGACTATAAATGAATCTCCGTGGTTCTGTTTCGGCCATCAGTGTCTGGCCCATGAGACAAGCGCGCCTGCGCTCGTTGAAGCGTCCGGAAGGCAGCCATGAAGAGACCCTCGTCGGCTTGCGCCTTCAAATATTGGTCGTGTCGAATGCCGAATGACGAAACCAATAGTAATTATCTGCTACTGATACTGCTTCTGTAATGAAGAATAATAATGAATTATCTAATCGTATTACATACTACTATAATCTTGAGAAACATACATTAGTCAACTATGTCATCTGTGACTTGGATTTCTACTATAGATACACATGATTCGATACGATTCTTGTCATTCTCCGCTCCATGCCTCACCCAGCAAGCAAAGCAACGAAACAGACTTCGCTGACGAGGATGATCCCGAACTCAGAGCGCTATTCGATTGGGATATTAGGATCTGAAACGGGGTCATTCACCACCAAATGACCATTTAAATACCATTTAGAGATGTGGCAAATTCTGAGTCAGTGATTGAATTTGTTGTTTTTTTCCCTATTAATTTTTTTGACACCCCCATATGCAACACAAAGAGTGCTCCATCCTTTGGAGGCACCAAATACCCAGCCACCTATCCACCCATCCGAGTCCAGTAACCCGTGAAAACCATCGTTCACCTGGCCAAGTGGTACCACGGACATGGGGATGGGTCGTATAAATTGACATATGTATGTATTTATTAAATATATATATACATATGTTATATAACACACCAGAATATATATATATATAACATAAATGTAAACAAATAATATATATTATATTATATCATATTATATTATATCATATTATATCATATTATATTATATTATTTTATGTTAAATTATATTATATTAAACTATATTATATATTAAATTATATTCAATTATATTATATATTATATTATATTAAATTATATTATATATTAAATTACATTATATTATATTATATTATATATTTTATATTATATATTTTATATTATATTATATTAAACTATATTATATATTATATGATATATTATATTATATTATATTATGCTATATTATGCTATATTATATATTATATTAAATATAATATTATATATTATATATTAAATTACATTATATTATATTATATTATATATTATATTATATATTAAAATATATATTATTTTATGTATTATATTAAATTATATTGTATTAAATTAAATTATATTATATATAATATATTATAATATATTATATATATACTATATACTACATACTACATACTATATACTATATACTATATACTATATTACTATATACTATATATAATAAATTCAATATATATATATACATCAAATATCATATATCATACATTAAATTTGATATATGATATACTATATGTTAAATATAATATGTTATATATTTCATATTATACATTATATAGTATATATCAAGTATCATATATTATATATTATATAAAAAATCTTATATATCAAATATTTTACATTATCGAAGGTAGTTTAGAAGTCAAACTTCCGACAATATGGACAGATGAAAAAGCAGAGCAGGGAAGAGGCAGAGAGAAGAGAAAGATTAGAAGAAAGAAGAGTAAGAAGAAAGAAGATGCAGATGTGCGAAACACTGTGTTTTTCCAATGATTTGTGGCTCCGGAGGGTCGAAAAGTAGGCTCGCTAGAGCGGCGGGTGCGGAGCCAGCTGGCCAGAGGAGAGATGAAAAAATGCACGCCGTTGTGGCGCGAAGCACATTTCCACGTCAAAATGTTAAAAACACTAGGGGTGCGCACCACTTTTGGCACTTGAGATGTCGAAAAAGTGCACGCCGTTGTGGCGCGAAGCACATTTCGAAGCCAAAATGGACAAAGCACGCCAGGTTCGGGCCACTTTTGGGAGTTGCGATGTCGGAAGAGTGCACGCCGTTGTGGCGCGAAGCACATTTCGAAGTCAAAATGCTAAAAGCACTAGGGGTTCGGACCACTTTTGGAGGTTCAGATGTCGTTTCGCGTGGCAGGCACAAGGGATTGTGCACCTCTTCAAAAGTGAGCAAAACGTGAGGGTTTTGTCACATTTCCAAAAACGATGGCAGGCATGGGACATTTGAAGAGGATCTGCAAAGATGCATTTTCCGTTGCAGGCGCAATACAAACGACATGTTCATGAGAGATGTTAGGAGGTCAGGGCGTTGATTTCCTGAGAGGGGTTGCATTTTGGAGTATCAGATGTGCAGGTTTGCTAAGATGATTTTGCGTGACAGGTGCAGCACTTCGTATGACCTGGCATCAATTTTCCGTGGCAGGCGCAGTACTTTAGACAGGTGGACTGGAAAAATCGCAAAACGCATTGGTGCGAGGCTGTCAGCTCTGCAATCAACTTTCCATTTTTGAAGGAAGTCTCACAGAATTCTGTCGTTTTTGATGTCTTCAACTTCGTCAAATGAGGAAGTCTCGCAGAATTGCTTCGTTTCGGATGTTGTCAAGGTCAAAAAATGAAGACGTCTCGCAGAATTGTTTCGTTTTAAAAGTTGTTATGTTCAAACATTAATGTTGGCACCTGATTAGTAGCATGGTACTCTATTGTGGCAAAAAGTTTCCTCCTTATTCAGTAACCTGCTGTTTGGTGGGGGGGGGCCTGTATTGTGGCAAATGTTTTTCCAGATTTTTTTTTGTTAAAAAAAAATGTTCCTAATTAATGTATAATTTTTTAATTTATTTTTATTTTTTTTAATTAAATACTTAAAAAATGTTTTTATGTTTTTCATTTTTTAACATTAAAGCTTTAAAATGCAAGGTTTTCCAAATAATTAGATGCCTTATTAAACCCTTATTAAAAAACAGCATCCAAACAATTTTTCAAGATGGTACCCCATGAGTGGCTGAGTTACTCAATAATATGAATGTTTGGATGGTACTCTATTGTGCCCAACAACTTTTGGGGCTGAAAAAAAACAACAAAAACCATTTCTCCACCTTTCTTTGAGTAAAGCTGGTCCATTTACTTTAGAAAGCAATATTTGTGTTAAAGCTTTTAAAATGCAAGGTTTTCCAAATAATTAGATGCCTTATTAAACCCTTATTAAAAAACAGCATCCAGACAATTTTTCAAGGTGGTACCACATGAGTGGCTGAGTTACTCAATAATATGAATGTTTGGATGGTACTCTATTGTGCCCAACAACTTTTGGGGTTGAAAAAAAAACAAAAACTCTTTCTCCACCTTTCTTTGAGTAAAGCTGGTCCATTTACTTTAGAAAGCAATATTTGTGTTAAAGCTTTTAAAATGCAAGGTTTTCCAAATAATTAGATGCCTTATTAAACCCTTATTAAAAAACAGCATCCAGACAATTTTTCAAGGTGGTACCCCATGAGTGGCTGAGTTACTCAATAATATGAATGTTTGG